TCTACGCATGGAAGAAACATTATTGTTCGTTTTTCATTGTACTGAAAGCAAAGGCCTTGACAACTCGACGCGATGCTGGTACTAGAAGTGGACGGAAATACTCTGCTGTTATTCACCCCGTTTTATTGTCAACGGTACATTAAGAGATGTAGGCTATTAGGAGTTGCATCAATGTGTTTACCCAGCACTCTGACAGACGACTGCATTGGGATGGAGCTCCCGGGGAACGGGCAATTTAACTTTGCAACAATCCAAAAGAATAAACTGCGGTTTCTGGGATTTAGCTAACGTTGACCAGACGGACGGAGCTGACAAATCCGTTTTGAAAAGAAGGTGAGAGCAGGTCGTGGACTGCTCACATGCTGCACCGTCCCGCTATGAGCTGGTGTCCGTATCAGCAAGAAATAAAAACAACGGCTCTAATTACTAATCAAACCTACAGATAAAATGGATCACACCATCTTAGACCTGGTCTAATTCGGGAAAAAAAACCCAATTCATCCACCAAAGAACATGCGTTGAGGTGTTATTACTTCAAGTCTTTCTCAGTAGTGTGAGAAGGACGGAAAGGTCTGATCAGTCCAGCGACGAAACAAACACAACTTCAAAACTTGCTATGGTGACTGTTGAGAATTTTCCCACATGGACCTCTGACAGAGCCTCATTGGAATTTATTATCATTTTGTTGCTTTTGGTTTTGGAAGCCTCTTGCCGTAATCCGAGCTGCAGTACCTTCACCTGAATAGTCACAGATCCCAGGCTGCTGTTTTACATAACGTGTGTTCAATGGGAAATCTTAACGCTAATAATGCTATTGATGCTGATTTCTTCATTTTTTGTCCTGGTGTCATGAAGCGTGTCGAGATAACATATGAAAGGCCTCATTTTGTTTCGGTGACAACACTATTGACACCTACTATATAATTGTCTTGTATGGATGTAGCTGGAAGTGTTTGCCGAATGATGTGCTATATTCTAACAGGTCGATGTAAATACTGATGTTATTCACCAACAAAGGTCTAATGCAGGGGTGTCCAAAGTCCGGCCCCGGGGCCAATCATGGCCCGCAGTTCGATTTCATACGGCCCGCACATTCTGTCTTTTATGTGTTATTTATGGCCCACTAGCACTTTTAAATTAATCATAACTCTCCAGATATGAATGAAAGGCAGAATTGTGTTTGTGAGTTCTTCACGCCTGCCTGAGAGGCTTATATTTGGTTACATTGAAGATGATTGTGAAAATGTGGAAATTGCGTATTATTCGTATGCAACGGGATATTCAGGAAAAGAAGAATAACATGTGGGTGTGGAAGGGATCAAGCAAGTGAGAGATTACGGAAAAGGGAAGGGTAGCGATCCTGATCCAGTGCGTCCCAATTAATGGAATTACCTTCCTCCTCCGGAGGAGGAAAGTTAGTCATTTGCAGAGACGTGCGCCCGCCAGTCTATCCCACCATATTGTCCAGCAGGCGCTAATAAGGCAGCCCTGACCGCCGGGCGCGCTCATTAGCATAGCCTGCGGCCGTGGCAACCCCCGCCAGGGCCCAGCCGGACACTTAATTACCGCCGTGTCGCTCCTTCCTCACTACATCCATACTCGCTGCCCTTCTTCCTCCGTCCTCACCCCCTGCTCTACCTCCTTAACCCACTCCCAAATACATACACATGCCCCTCCACCCCCACCCCCTCCCATTCATAGCACGCAGGATGGAAGACTAATCATTTTGCCGTTGTGATGGCTTTAGTCTTGGTATGTTGTGGCAGGCTTTTATGTTATTTTGATGGCTTTGCGGTGAGCAATCTTAGTGATTTCCAGTGATTCCCTGACCTGCACCATCCCTCTAGCTCATGCTCTCTCTCTCTCTCTCTCTCTCTCTCTCTCTCTCTCTCTCCCTCTATTGCTATATTGGCTCATGGGCATGACTCTCGTTCTGACATCGCACACAGTATTGATGCTCCGCTGTCCACTCTTAATCGACTAATGGCCTCCCCTTCTTTCCTGCGGGGACAAATCAACCCCTCCCTTAACCACCCTGCTATCTGTCCCTTCCTCCCTCCGCCTCTCCGTCTCCTCTCCCCTACCCGGTTCAGGCCTGAGGTCAGTGAGGCCAATTTTCATGCCTGGCTAAGTCACAGAATAGTACACACACTGTGTGTGTGTGTGTGTGTGTGTGTGTTAGAGGAAATATGCTAGTCAGCAGCCTCGCACAAGTCATGTGGTGGGTGACCTGCTGACCTACCTTTACTCCAGTCCCTTGCTCTTCCCTCCCTCCTCTAACTTGCACTCTTCCCTTTACTAGCAATCATTCTGTTTGACAAGGAAATCTGGCTCGCCCCCGCACTAAACGCGCACGCACACGCACACGCACGCACCCGATTCTGACCTTGAAAATCCACGGCCAAAATAATCCTGCCAAGTTCACAAATGGAGATTGTTGACCGCACTGCACGGTGAAACAATGAGCCAGTACACTACCTGTACTGTCTAACTGCTTTAGCTGTAGTGGCAGGCTGTGCGCTTTGTTTTGTGACCGGTTAACACGACACACGGGCTCCCAAACACTGCATAAGTCACAGATCTGCTACAGCATAACATTTCTTTTGTTGCTCGGGGTACGTCTGCGGTCAAACTCAAGGCGGTTTTGTTCTCGCCGGTCTCGAAGCCTCTCAACCTCCTCTTCATGTTGCCTCAGCTTGCACTTTGACCCCGTTTGCGGCTCTTGTCTTTGCTTCTAACGTGGTGGCGCTGTACATCTTTTTGGCCCAGAGAGAACCCCCCCCCCCCCGCGCCGCTGCGCCGCTGAATCACAGTCGTGTGAGTGATAACGGATCCAGACTGCTGAGCACCCTGCAGCTGTTTGTCTCAACATGCAAGTCATACCCGCCATTACACCGCTAAATGGTTCCCTTTCAGTAACAGACGCTCGCCGCCTGGGTCTGTATCTGCCGCCATCACTCGAGGGTGTGGGGGGGGGGTGGTTGCGCTTACTGTCGCAGAGCTAGCCCCCAGACTGGAGGCGCAGCAGTTGAATGGGTGTCAGAGTGTACAGTGGTGGGGGGTGGGGAGAGAGAGATGGTCCGTGTTAAATTACGTCCTCGGCTATATGCATGCACGTGCAGTTGTCTGCGCCCATGCGCGTGGTGGGCATACAGTTGCGAGAGCAGAGTTCAGTCGAAGCCGTGACCTTGGGAAATGTCATTCCGCCCACGGTGGTGGCTCGCCTGTGACACACAAAGCCGTGGCAGTGTAGTGCATCGAGGGCGCTGTTGCCGGTCCCTGGTGGGGGGGTTGCATTCAGCCGTATCTCACCCTGAGGTTTGAGAGTGGGCCTAGGAAGCCACGGAGTTCAGCCTCAAAGCTGAGACCTCGGGTCAGCAATCTAGCGATTTCCCTCTAACCATATTAGAGCCATTAGTGGCTCTTGCTGCTTTTCACATGTCACATAGAAATGGGTCAAGCCCTGCCCTGTATGACTCACAGGCTCTTGCTCCCCCTCTCTCTCTTTCATCCCTTTTTAACCCCACGAGGTGGCAAAATGACTTCAAGTAGCACGGGAACATTGGGTTCACAACAGCACATTCCGACCTTTGCATTCACCTAAAGAAATGAGAAGGGTCGCTCTTGCTATGCACGCCCATCAGTCTTGTAGGTCGTGCTTTGATTTGTGTAGGCAAAGTCTATAAGACATGAGGCCATAAACTGTTAGCAGAGCCATGAGATCATTGTTATAATCTATTTTGTTGCCTTGGTTTTTGGCATCTTAACATTTCCCATCAGTTTCTGGTTATGTGGTACTGAAAAGAAAGATGTGTTTTTTTTGAGAGACGGGAATACGTTTGAAAGTGTGTTCGCCCTGTTTGATATCCGTTGCCGCAGAAGAGGAGCGGTCATAGTGGGTTTCGACCGTGGTCACCTTTTGTTGACTGTGGCAAGCCACATTGGCCAGATGTCAGCCGACTGTAATGATCCCAACAGGTCGCTGGGCCGGGTTGCCTGGCAACCGTTTTGCCTTTGCCTGTAAACAGAGAGCAGGCCCACCAGGCCTCTGTCAGGGTTTAGAGGGTGAGAGCAGCTCTGGTGTGTGTGAAAGTACTGTTTGTGTTTTGGTGTGTGAAATATTTTTGAAGCCACATGTTTTCGCAACGGTACGAACGTTTTCTGAGAAATTTCAGCCAGTCCGCCTTCATCAGATGTTTTGTACAGATACCCAAAGAGGAGGGAGAAAAAGTCAGTTTTGACACTGTGTTTTGCTCAGGCTTGGTGCTTTTGACATGTTCTTATGGAGGTTTGTTAATATGTATCAGGAATATTCACTTTTCTTTGTTCGCCCTTGTCTGGCAAGCTGTAATATTTTGCTTATGAATATTGATACATGAAGTGTATATTAATGACCCTTGGTGACCTTAACCCTATCCCTTATTGGCTCCCTGGTGGTATCTGCAGGCTCATGAATATTAATCTAGTTCTGTAACCTCCATTACCCTAATCTTTGCTGTCTAGCCTCCCAGAAGGACCCGTTGTCATGGTAACCCCTTTACTAGACTCTTCGAGACCAAGGGTGGGAAAGAATATGGTTTAAAAAAGGCAGAAAATTTAAATTACTCAGATATCTTGGATTGTGGAAAGATGTTCATATTTGTGTTCATAGATATTTTAGTAGTTTGCTTGCTGAGCAATGAAGTCCTTTTTTTGCATCTTTTAATGAACTATTATTGTTTTTATGAATGTTCAATAGTTGCCTCAAATCCACATTATTGCCCTGAAACATTAGACAAGGAAGGATGGCACATAATAATAATAATAATAGTAAATACAAATTTCCAATTTAAAGAGCTGCGTAGCCACAGGCTATGACTATGCCCACTTGATCCCTGTAGTAAGTGTTTGATGCCCACGATTCATTCTCAGGATACTAATTTTTCGGCTGATGCCCAGTCTTAACTGTTCACTATAGCAGCATAATGATATATGTGCGTATGCTCTCTCTCCTCTTCCAGATGTGGACAGCAACGATGAAGGAGGGCCCGATAATGTTCCTGTGGAGGAAGAAGGCTGGTTTGGGAATGCTTCTGACACGCGCTCAGAGTCGTCGTCCTACGGGGACACGCAGGAAGAACTCCTCCTGGCCAGGGGCTCCTCTCCCGACGAACGGTCCGGAATCGGCACCGGGTCCGCGGACCACGATACCTGCGGGGGCGAGAGCTCGTTGGGTTGCCCCACACCCGTCCATCGTGCCTCTTTGGAACTTCTGGGACTGGATGGAGGTGCATTCTCGGCCCAGGACACACTCTCTTCTGTGGTGTCATCACTGTACGGTGAGGCAGCATCTCGTGCCCTGGGGAAACCCCTCAGCAGCAACTTACGGCGCCTCCTAGAGGCCGGGTCGCTGAAACTCGACACCGGGGAGCTGCTGGGTCGCTCATCGAGGGGATGCGCTGGGGGGGAGTCTCCTCCAATTGGCCTAGCCCCGCCTCTGACCCTCTCCCCGTCTTCCCACCACGCCCAGCAGTTAAGTGCTCTTGCCCGAAAACTGGCCAATAACAACAACAACAGCAGCAGCGGTGCGGCCTCGCCCGCCTCCTTGGCACCCTCAGTCACCAACATTAAGCAAGAGTCCCTTGATCCCTTTAACTCTGTCACCCCTAGCAACGGCGGCGGCTTTGTATGGGCAGGTGTTGCAGATAAGTGGCCACCGGCCAGCTGCTCCACGCCCTGTGGCTCCAGCCTCTCCCCGGACTCCGCCATCCAGAAGTTAAAAGCGGCAGCGAACGCTGTGCTTCAAGACAAGAACGCCGTGGCCTCGTCCTCAACGACCTCTTCCTCCTCGTCCACCTCCGGCTCGTCTGCGGCGCCCGCTTCTCGGAGGGGGCGGTCGGGGAGACGACGCGGTGCGCTTCGATGCCTTCAACTCTCCGTTCAGCCCACAGTCGGCTAGCTCCACCCTCGCGGCGCTTTCCAAGAAAGTCAGCGAGCGGAGCCAAACGTCGTCAACGACCAGTGCTGCTGCCGACCATCAGTCCTCCGGTTCCTTCCTCTCGCTTGTGTCAATGACCTCCTCTGCTGCCTTGCTCAAAGAGGTGGCAGCCAGGGCGGCGGGAAACCTGCTGGCAGAGAAGAAAGACGGTTCCTTGTTGGCGACTGCTGGGGTCCTCCAAGAGGACGTAAAGCCCCTGCTGGACAAGAACCAGAGGGCTCCCACGCCCTCTACGCCCACCCACAGCCTCGATTTGCTGTTGCCCTCTACTCCAAAGAGCAGAGGCAAACCCAACAGCCAAGCAGGTAATCTGAAGTAATATTCTATGCATATTAATACTAATACTACATTGGTTTGAATAATGGTCGCACCGGTTCAGATAATAAGTGGAGAGCTCAGACGGGGACATTCAATTATTGCCTTGTGTCTTCAGGATGCCTAAGCTCAAACTAAATTGCTGCAATGAAATAAAAGGACCTTGTGGTTGCATGGAAGAGAGAGTATGCAGGTTCAAGATCGTTTCAGCTGCACTTAGCTTATGGAAAGTTTTCACTTTCCTTCACCATAGTGTTTTCTTTTAAAAAATAATTGTAGAATATTTCAAGAAAGAAAGTTCAAGTGAACTGTGCCCCCCTATCATAATACTTCTAGCTTTTTAGCAAAGAACAGATTCTACTTGTCATAACAAGCAAATCAAGACTTAGTACTGAGGCGTTAAGGTTAGTATTGCGATGGAACTGTGTGGAAGAGCAGCAGGTTTGTTCGTTACCCAAAAAAAGAACAACTCCCCCCACCCCCAAAAAGCACAATTCTGGACTTTCACGCCATGTTGTCTCTGGGTTTGTAATGGTTTTGTTCTCACCTCGCTGTCGCTGAAGAAGCGAGGCGCGTAGCCTCAGCTTCGACTGTCAGCCGAGCCGAGAGACAACGGCCCTGGCTGGCCTTCCAGTCTGGGAAATGGTCCCTGGGCTCGACGGGGGGGAGAGATGGGGGGGTTCTGACTGAGACCTCGCTTCCTTCCCAGACTAGCTCGAATGTGCGTGCTGCCAAAAAGGGGGCCGTCAGTGTGTGCTCGGCACAGTGGGGAGCCCTGGAGTCCATATCCATCTCGGCAGCCTCCTCCCGGCTTCGACCCCCGCCAACCAGAGCCCTCTGCACCGATCGGCACGGCAGACTTAAGGCCAAACACATCATACTTTCCACTGACTGGATACAGATGCCTGCACACACACACACACACGCAAACACACTCTCTGTTTCTCCCCCCCCATCCCCCTCCTGTGCTCTCTCTGTTACTCACAAATAGTCGTGCCGTATATTCTCCAAGTGTCTACTCAGATGTGGACATATAACCAAACAAGGGTGCACACAAAGATCTCACTCCCGCACAGGGAAGGCTTCAAAGCGCAGGCTCCTGCTAAGTAGCCTTTCGGGAGAACAGAATGTTTTCAGGGAGATGGATGGGCACTTTTGAGGGATTGTGTCGCAACCCCGCCAAATCTAAAATGGCCGGATCAAATTGACTTCAGACGGATGAGGCAGTCGATGTAATACTCTGTGATCTGCATGCTAAAAAGGGGGTCGGCTCTAACCCGCGAGCCATCAAGGTCGAACGGAGCTGTAAAAATGCAGGTAGTTGTTTGGTCGCCAGACTGAAGAATGTGACCTTGATTATTGACTGTCTTGTTTTGTTGTCGTCCCTCGCCTGTTCAGCGATAAAACTGTATCGCGCGGGCATGTTCTGCTCTTTGAATATGAAAGAAAAGGCTTTCTCCCCCCCCCCGACATGCTTAACATGCCTGTGATTGCTTAGGAAATGTATGTGTAAAATGCTAAGATGAAGGTACTTAACACGCACATTTCCTCTCTGGCGTTTTATTCACGCTTCACTCAGCTCAACTCGGACGAAGCAGAAGTCCTTTTTGCATTGTGGTCTCTGCTGTGCTTGGAGAGGTTGGGCCGCAGATGGCGGTTTATTGTTGCAAATAGGCAGTCTCGAGGTTTTACACCCCAGGTCAATGAATGGCTCAGCACAGTAATTTCACCAAACACTGATTACCAGATGTTTTTCAAGGAACGGCACTGGAATACTTGATGAAGCCATCCTGACAGGCCCTTGTAGAATTTGTAATGCAATCATGCCTCTTTCTAATAAGACCAATTAAACAGTAATGGATGCCGAATATGAAGCCAACAACAATAATCGAGATACTAAAACATGCTTGAGTTTTTACTTCCTTTGTTACACTGCTTCCAGCTGGCATTTCCCTTGAGAGTTTTCACCATTACGTGAGGAGTAGTTGTCACTTGCAGATCTGCGAATACTGTCGTCCCCATTTGGGAAGGTACCGTTTCAGTGCAGACTTCTGACTGTCCTTGTAACAATGTTGTTTTTGCCGCCCTCAAGGCTCTCCCGAGGATGGTGGCAAACCGTTCCAGTGTCCTGTGTGTGGACTGGTCATCAAACGCAAGAGCTACTGGAAGAGACACATGGTCATCCACACAGGCTTGAAAAGCCACCAGTGTCCTTTGTGTCCCTTCCGTTGTGCTCGCAAAGACAATCTTAAGTCCCACATGAAGGTGAAAAGATATGGATTTTCTTCATCTTGTGACCCTGCACCCTTTTCACCCCCACCCACATCATATTCAATTAGTAGCAATTGTGGCTCTTGGATTGTAATTGTTAACATTAAGGAATAGGCATGCTTTGGTTTTGTGTGTGTTAATCTTCGACATGGCGTAATTAAACCCTACATGTTTGTTTCATTTCACTCCAATTAATCTCCAATAAGGAGTCATGTGTTTTCTCTCGATGTCCTGAAGAAGCAGAGGGGACGAGAAGAGATTTGACACGCATGCCTGTCCTCCTCTTCCAGGTACATCAGCACCAGGACCGGGGTGAGACTTTTCAGTGCGAACTCTGCCCCTTCACCTCCTCCCGTCACTTCAGCCTGAAGCTTCACATGCGCTGCCACCAGCACTTCCCCCGCTCAGACGTCAAGGTGAAGGAGGAGCTCACCACCGATACGGAGGGCGAGGGCTCCCTGATGGGGGACAGCGGCCCCGCGGACCTGAGAGGGACGGAGGCGTCCCCACTGCACTCGGACAGCCAGCTGCAGACGTCCTCCCCGGTCGAGGCTTCTTCCAATCACGTCCACATCAAGGAGGAGCCCCAGGAGAGGGATCTGTCCGTGCTCTCCACCTTTAGCATGTGCAGGGACCGTCCTCGCAGCAGTGCCAACTCCCTGGACCTGCCCGGAGGCGGGGTCAGATCCAGTCCTAGCGGTCCAACCACAGCCTCCCTCTTCAGCCCGGACATCACTACCAAGACGGCCACTGACCTGCTTATGAAGCTTTCAGGTGAAAAATGTTATTCACGCTAGGGCTGCAAATATGACTTTTATCGATCAAGCTACTAGTGGACAGGCAAATAGCAAAGATCTACCCAGCTCCTGAAGGTATGCGACAGTGTTGCGTCAAATGTTCATTCAGGTATCTGAAGAAAAACCCAAGAGACCAGTTATTAATTAACATTTTTGGAAAGCTGGCACCAGTTTTATTTATTCCATCGTTAAAAAATACATAGAGACATCAGCGTGCACACGAACACTAGCTTGACGCCTTTAGTCCCTAATTGTTTTGTTTGTTGTGCCGTTATCACAACTTGACTTCCTAACTGCGCTCATTTCAGTCGCACTTTTCTAAAAAGTATTTCACTTCCTCCAGACTTGAGCATGAAGACAACCGTTCTGATCTCCGGCTAGATGTTGTCTCCCCTTTGCCTTAAGTTTTGTTTTGATTCTTTACTGTCACCAGAAATAACATTCGTAAGAAGTGTAAACAGTTTTATGTTTAACGTTTCAGGTCAAGGCCGCAGTGTTTGTCTGTGAGCTGTTTTTAATGGGATTTTAAAACAATGAGATTCTAGTATTTCTTGGAGACAGTTCAAGCCTTTAGGGAATAGACAGTTTTAGCGTTGACAGCGGCAAATAGAATCCTATTTAGGCGTCGAACGGACATCAACACGGGAATCCAAACCAGTTTACACAAGGTTCGCTAAAGCTGCGTGGGTCTGAGAATCAGACACATATGTTGTTTTTCCAGACTTTAGCTATCATTGTGCATATTTGGGGATATCAGGGATGCCTACACCTTTTCATCCATACAACCTTGGTGTCTGTGCGTCTCCCCCATGAGAATGTCCATGGACTTTTCACCTTTTCTCAAGTACCACATGCCGCATAAACCGGTTTGGGCAACGCCCAAAGAATTCAAAACGTTCTTTTAGGACACAGATTTGTGGAATGCAACATACTGTGTATTTGATTGAATAGATTAGGTTATGCTAATTATGCCTACAAGATTTTTTTTACAGCACAATTTCACTTTTTTAATTAGAAATTGTTAAACTAGCAAAGGAACTTCAAACAGATGCACGTTGCCTTTTTAAATGTGAAAAAATACGTGCCCCATCACTGTCCATTGTGTGGCACCTATACAACAAAACACGGCACACAATGTGTGTGTGTATATAGTATATTGCTATTAAAAAACTCTAGTAGTTAGTCACAGATAAAAACTGGTTCAACACATGAAAGGTTTCACAGATGAGATCTGATTTAGCAAATCTATATTCAAAAGATGATGCATCTCACTGACAGATGCTCCATCCATGTATTAATGTGGATGCTGTTAGGCCGAGCACATCTAACGGATTTGTTGGCACCTTCCTTGTGTTGTGCCACTTGTTTGTACATTGAAGGTGTGTTTGAATAAGCAAAAGAGAGGAGAATATTTATAATATTTCATGAGGTGAGCATCGAGGTAGACTGAGAACATTGTTATATTGAGCTTTGTACTTACTTTTAAAAAGTAGATCTCCAGTAATTGGCAGTAACAGAGAAGAACTGAGCAGAACTAAAGTCGTGACCTGAATCGGCGCATATGCTGTATTTTCATATCTAATCTCGAAGGTAAAAGGTCTTGTTTGTAAACTTCATGTCTGCTTAAAATGTCATTACAAGACTGATATTCCATTCTTTTTCCATCTTTGAGATAAGCTCTCCACCCAAGGTTGAATTTAGTGGGATTACATTTTTTTGCTTCTTTAGCACATACTCAAAGTGACATCTGATGGCTACCCAGTTGAACATCCTCATCTATTTGCGGTTGGCCGCTGATCATCTCCACTGAAGCAGTTGTGCACTAAATGATTCCCTCAAGGGCACCTCAACAAATGTTGTTGAGGGATTCATTTTTCTCCCCCTCATCTTATCAGTTCCCAGGGGAGTTGAAGATCTGTAACCTTAAGGCAGCTTTCTCCTTTGAAAAATTCCCTTTGCCTGGGTGTCGGTGTCATTGTGACTGACACACCGGTGACACGTTTTCCTCTAAAGGTGTTGAGATCAACTGAAAATGACAAGTGGAAGAAGTCGTTCCGGAGCCATGTGCTAGGGATTGTTAACATAGATCTACTGTACTTTGGTGAAAAGCCTCATTTAAAAAGATGAAACGGTTTAATTCTTAAACCTTGATGCTAAGACCTGGTTGTGTGCACCTTAAAACCCCTGGTAGCAGTAATATTCCCCTTTCATGAGACAGTTTAAGACCTACTACGCTGACACGTAATTCGGTGGTATCTGCCTTTTTGGTAAAGTTGCAATGTGACAGGGGATTTTCCTGAGCTTTACAACGTGGTGACACAGCATGATTTTAAAGTTGACAAACATGCTGCTCTAAGGTGTACCAGGCTCAGACAGTGTTTGGATGCATTTCACCAGGTTGCAAAATATCAAAAGATGAGCTTTGAGACGATGGCGAGATTGATGGAAAAAGGTTGGCTGAGGTTCGGCGTTGGGGTCGAGGCTGCCGCTGCCACTCTTCCACTTAATGCTGTGTAATTAGATTGAGATCTTGAGCGAGGATGGGATGAGAAAAAAAAACCCTGGGAACATTAGATTAATTAAAAATGTATGCATAATTCATAATTAAAAAGGAATTCATAATTTGAAATGATTAGCGCCCTCAGCGACATCTTCTGACCCCGCCAGGATGCACGGGGACCGAGCCGGCTTAGTTATCTCCCCGGCGATCTCGCACGCCCGCGCTCCACGCGTGCCCCCTGGGTGCCAGTTGCATTCTTCTCCCAGACTGCACAATCAAGCCCGGGCAACTCCCGCAGGACCCAGACGGCTCCTCGCAATGTCAGTCCAGTGTCGAGTGGCGGACATCTTAGTCCGGGCATCGTTCAAGGAGAGCGAAGGGGGAGATGAAAAGGCGACGTGAGGGTGTCGAACTTGAACGCGCGATGATGTACAATGAATACCGCCTCTTTGATCACAAAGTTCTCCCTTTGTGGGGGGGGTGGAGTTACAAGATGGAGGGTTATGAAACTGAGAAGAGCTGGACTCAGATCTTTGTGAGACTTACTCATGCCAAGGAGCAGCCGGCGCGAGAGAGGTGAGGAAGTTCCTCCTGGGACCTGCAGACTCTATTTCTTTTGACCTCCCTGCCAACTCAGATTGAATGTGTACACGAGCAGCTCATCCCTCCTGCTTTTACACTGCTGTCTCAGTGCCTCTATCCCGCAAGGCCTTGGAGAGGGAGGGGGGATTTGGGGGGGGTGAGGAGGCGGCAGGGAGTGGTGTAAAAATGTGGAGAGGGAAAGATAAAAAAGAGCCGGATAAAGTGACAGCTAGTGGGGGGGGTTGCATCGCGTTCCCCAGGCATAAAAAGCCAGTGAACTCTTCCTGACCTCTGACATAATAAGCACATCATTTTTTGGGGGTTGCCCGGCGTTCCATTGAGCGTCACACTGATACCCTTTGATTTCTATCCTTGCATGCTGACACAACCGTTAGCGATCCAGTGTGATCCACATTTTGATTCAGAGATGAAAGGCGCCAGAGCTACTTTGAAATGCACCGCCCCTACCCTGTGCCCAGTGGACCCTGAGTTAATAATGACGGTGGGCACTGCACCACCCCCCCACCCTTCCCGCTGTGGTGACACAGGCACAACGAGCTTGACCCTGGCTGGGTGTGAATAATTGCCATGCAGGGGGTTGTGGGAGGTGTTGCGTCTGTCATGATGCTTCTGCAGTTGTCTTATTTATCCTTTTCCTGGGAGAGTATCTCACATGCAACGCTCTGCTTCAGTGGAATGATGCACTGACAGGACGCTATCGTCATACATAAAAAAAACGGTACTCTTGAGGGGGTTTACAGGACATGGACTTCCCCCGCGCTCCCCACCTCCCTCCCCCCCTTGTCCTGGGTATACATGTTATTCGGATACACCATACGGGCCTGTGTTAAACAGTTCCAGATGTGATGTGTAAGAACACTTTAAAGCCACGTTTCACCGTCTTAGTTAATACAGATTTCCATTAGTTGTCGTTATGCTGCTTTATGATCAAGGTTTCGTCTTTATGTCCTTTGCTTTCCAGCTCTGCATGAGCAGAGACAGCCAGGCCGTTTGTGTGCGACCTCTGGTCCATACATCCCCTCTGCAGCCATCAGTATCACTGTCCGGTGTCTAGCACACTGTCAACTATTGTCGGGTCCTCAACCTGCCCCACGTAGCCCTCTGCTTTTCTTTTTTTTTTTTTCCTCCGGGGGGAAAACAGCAGCCAATTGTCAGAGGGGGAGCAGGCCGGCGTGACAGAGGTGGAAAGCTAATGAAGTTATTTGACGGCAGCCCTGGCCACGGAGCGAGAGGTGAGGCGGAGTGGACAAGCGTCTGGCAGCGAGACGGATGAGGGGCGAGAGGGAGATGCGCGGGGAAGGTGGGGGGGGGGTGAAAGTAGCATTTGTGGCAGGTGTCAGTAGGCTGCGATAACATGGAGACGAACTGATAGCATCGTCAACCCTGAACCAGAGGCCGCCGTACGGCATCAGGCACCCGCAGCTGACATTGGCCTGGCTACGGACTGGCGCTGCCAGGAAGCTCACAGATGAGATGCCCAGTCACCCAGAGGTGCCCGTCTCCTCCTCGGGTCTGTGCTGTCTCCACAAGATGAGCTGCCGCGGACTGGATGCACATGGTGCCATCGTGAAATTCTGACAGACGAAAGGCCGAGATATAAACTCGGCGTTGCGGCCTGAATTGTTTCTCGCTTTCCAGCGCTGCTCCAGCTTTTTGTTATTGAACCATCAGCTTAGAGGAAGGAAAAAAAAAAGCGAAAGAAAAGACCAGTTGGATTAGGCTACTAAATAATTCATTGGGTTCTGTAACATAGATTCCGAGTGGAAATTCACTCTATTTATAGCAACAAATCCAAAAGGTCACTGAAGTGGTGTGACTTTGTGTGTGAGTGCACGTCCTGGGGTTGTTTTTGTCCTCGTGAGCCCACAGGGGAGGAGAATTTGGAAATCTTAAGCTTGTGTTGAGTCTGTATTTGTCAGTGGACTTTTTGAGCCGCCCGGCATTTTCATACGGTTCGACAGCAGCGTGACGCAGTATATTAATTCCTCCATAGATCTAGACCAGTGTGTGTCTGCTTGGGAAAATTAGACATGTAATCTTATGTGTGTTTGTAAGGCGCTGACCAAAGTGTGCTGTCCCTGTCTGATCCGACATGGCCCAACACGCTTCTAATTAGAGGACGTCCTTCCAGGTGCTGACCAGGTTATACTTAGCCTGCCCGCTGAAATCTGACGGTGTGACATTTCCAGCTGGTGCTGCGTGCGACCCCGCGCCACTGCCCCTGAACTTGAAGGTCACATCCCCCCTCCCACCCGCCCCTAGTCCCCTAACCCCGCCACAACACTCAACCCCTTCCTTCTCCCCTTCTTGAACTGCAGCACCGGCCCGCCAAGGTGCGGCACTGTGTGGCATCGCGGCACCACCCGGGTGGTCAAAACACCGACACCTGTCCCCTCTCCTGCCCCTTCTCGCCCGTCACCGAGCCCTCTGTCCCTCCGGCAGGGATCATCATTAATCAGAGGGGCTGGGGGCCCGGCACAGATTGATGATGCGGGCAGGGGGGGGCGGCAGGCCTGTGGCGGTTAGAGATGTTAGGTGAGGCGGCGGGGTGAGGAGCGGGGCAGATCTCTGCTGGGGCCAGGGGACACTGGACAGAAGGCTGCCCAAGAGTGATAGCCTCTCTTATGTCCATGCCCTGTGAGTGTGTGTCTGTGTGTAAGACACACTGCGGGTTGTTGGAGAACTGTTGATGTGTGTGAGGGGTGGGGAAGGTTCTCGACAAGCTATATAGATAAGTTCCCCTACTCGGCATCAATGAACTTTAGTCCCGTTTTAATTGAATTGTTCTTTTAAAAGAAACGTGTGTGTATTTATAGGGTTGAGCTTTAACAAGCCGTGTGGCTCCTTAGCAGCTTCCCAACTGTGGTGTCAGTTGTAGCGTCAGCATATGGTTCTAATTACTGACAAATGCGTGACCATTGCAATTACATACCATCCCAAATGTGTGCTGGTAAATATTCCGTGAGTTGCACATAGTTTTAAAATAACAAAGGGGAAATATAGAAAGCAACCTTTGCCACATTTGGTTATCATTAGCATATGCAATGCCTTTAAATGTTTGCTATAGCAACGAGGCTTTGTGACGCACGTGGGAAACAGTCTAAACCAAAACACAATACTCCTTCATCCATCCAGGCAGGCTCATTTATTTTACTTTTTGCAAACAATAACATGGATACATGGAACATAAATACTTCGACCTCAACTTTGCTTTCCAGGTGTTTATCATTTCATATAATAAGTAAATATAAAAAATAATATCTAAAAAAAGTCAAATGGTTCTTTCTCTTGTGAAGAGAGGGAAATTCTTTCATTAATATGGCCTACTATATATTCATATATTTAAGGGTACTGAACGGTTTTACGTTTTGGATAATCAGATCTCATCAGCCAATCTACTTGATGAAGCTGGTGCTGTGATTGTTTCCGATAAAGGGGGTTGCTGCGCCCGTTGTAAATCCCGCTAGTGCCGTGGTGGACAATGGTCCCCTTTAACCCTCCACGCGGCTCCCACAGTTGCACGGAATGGAACGGAACAGAACGGGGTTTTGGTTTGGGAGAATAGGTTTCGCAACGTATCTCCGCAGAGTTTTCCAGCCATCTCAAATGTCAGCAGTGTGGTGAGCCGTAGCCCGTGCAAACCTTTATGTTTCAGCGCGCAGCGCCGCAGAACGGGCTGAGAGACAAAGACTGGCGCTCGCCCCGCTGTTCTTTTCTTGGCGGCTATCGGAAGTTGCTCCATGTCTAATTATTAATTATTCATCTGAAGCGGATTAGACGTGGCCCAGTTTCTCTTGAAGACGGCTTTAGAGCAGAGGGGTCCGTGTGACAGTTCACTCCCCTGAACCGGGCCACACGCTGCAGGGATGGCAGATAAGACCTCAGCCGATTTGTTATCGCGCTCTGCGGGAGGACCTTTTTTTTTGTCCTTGTTTCTGAGGAGAAGGAAGAAACCCTTCTTAGAGTAGAATGGAATAACATGTACAGAATTACTGGGATGTGGTGGGTTGGGGAGGGACAGTGTGAAGCGGGAGGGAAAAGAATTGGGCATTTGTTGTGGATGCCACAAAGACCAAGAGAGGACAGTCGTGAGGTGGCACCCTTTGTGTCGGGCCACAGCACAGCCAACTGTGGCGTCTGGTGCGGAGAGGCAGTGTGGACCACTTTGTGGTCTCATTCAATTGAATGTATTCTACTTAATGTTGTGTATCTAGCGCTCTCTTCACTCATAGGAAGCATAAATAACTTCAGGTTTTATTTAACAACACAATGTCACCACAAGCTGATGGATGACGTGTGGTATAAACAATGTGGTATGCGAGATATTTTGTCTCACTAAGAAAGTAATGTAAGGCCGTCTTGATAAAAAGAATCCAGCGCATTCATATGAAACTAAACATGCTTCTTTTAGAAATTTTGGATTTTTTTTAATTAATTTTTTTCTGCTCCCCTTAAATTGTCGTTTTCAAATTCAACCCTTCTTTTCTCTCCTGCCGCAGCGGCCAATCAGAGGGAGTCGCTCAAGTCCCCGTTCCACCTGAAGGAAGAGCCCAAGGCGGAGGAGGTGCTGAGCCCTCGACCATCCTCCCAGAGCCAGGTGCAGCCAAGCTTCCCTGCTACTTTCTGCCAGGACGGGCCACTGGGGGCGGCGGCAGCCACAGAGCGCCCGGGGTCACTGAAGCCGAGGGACGGGAGTCCCATGGCGAAGAAAACCTTGCTGAACCACGATATCAACCTTAAGGTGGCCTCCGAGCTGCTCATTAAGCTATCAGGTATGCATGGACGAACTGTATCTGTTTATCCGGTTATTTCACCTCTGTGGTCTTAAAACTGAAGGCATGTAGTGTATTTGTTAGATGTTCTGCAGATACGCATGAGGAAACAACAGCACTTAACCATACATAGCTAATTTGTGGAAAGAACAGATCATGCATTTATTGTTGTTTGTTGTGTTATTGATATTTCTTGCGCTAGTCGGCTGTTTTTTTGTTTTAGATCAGCCAATAACCGCTCGAGAGGTTAGTTTAAGGTCAATAGTTATGACACTGAAAAGGCTCACAAAGGGTTCTGTGGTTTTCTTCCACAACACACCCCACCGAGCTGAAATTGGGGCCTGCTGAAAGTTAACGTGCGGTGAGAAAGCATGTGTGGTGAATTTGTCTTTGTTACTCGGAGGCCTGTGGTCTAGATGGTGACTGTGAATGTCTTTGTACACTCCCTGATGATGTTTCGCGAAACCCCGTCATACTCTACTCACAGAGCCACTATACACATCTATGGTTTGTTTTATTATTACGAACAGCAATCAGTGCGGCGAGGATTGGTCCTCCTTTAGTTTGTCTTCTTAACCCTGCCCTGGAATCTAGATCTTTCTACGCCGAACTTAAAACTCAACCCTTGTTCGATGAGAGGCAGTTAAACAGCTTCAGCCTGCGTTGGCCCTTCTGTCATCATCCAATTCAGCAGGATTTAGCCTTTACAGCTTCTGCTTTGAGCGCCGCATGAACGTTGGGAACGAGTCCTCCCACAGGGACTCCAGCCTGGTTCTTTTATTTTGTAGCACTCGCAGCAGCGCTGCCGCCGCCGCTCCACTTGTATTGCCGTTTCACCGGTTATTTTTTGATTACCACACACTTTGCTTTACTGCAAAATACACTTTAAAAGCCGCTTCTTATTATAGCCCCACTACTGGCTGCCAGGTCGGGTTCAAGTGTGCTATGGACAGGTGTTTGTCCACTGTGGGCTGCTGGAGTTCATCTGTCAGGGAGTAATTATCAGTATGTAACAACAGAGCGGGCATCCCTAGCTATATGAAAGGAATGCGGAATTCATTGTTCGGAGCTACTTTTTCCGTAAGGACATTAATACAGATTCAGATCACCAATTGCAATGCTATGCTAGAATTGCACAGCCGTGAAAATGTACAACGTGTGACGGACCTGTGCAACTATGCGCAGTGTTTATAGGCACAAAGCAAATGGGAGTCCGATGGTGGCGCAGTGGGGCGTCACTCCGTCTGCGGCCCTTCATCCTGTGCCAGCGCGTGCGTGCTCGACAGTCACCTCACACACCGGTCGCCATTGTTCACTTCGGGTTGACGAGTGTTCAGAGTGAGTCATGTTGGCTGCAAGCTCTGTGCTACTACACGTGTGCTGCTCCGCTGCCTGCCCCCCAGGTCACGTTTCCCTGCGTCTGTGCGTGCTTTGAGGACGACAGAGATGAAATGATTGCTACTTTGAAACAACAACAATAAAGGGTGATTTAGTGTGTTGGCCGCTGTGTTAATTCAGAAGGCTGATAGAAGGATGTGGGCAGGATGTAATTCCTCCAGTGGGCCGCCTCCACCTATGTTCTTTGTTTCTGCACTGATCCCTTCCCATCAATTTTGCTCATTCCGATGAGTTATCCGCACTGATGTTATCCCAGCCGGTGCACTTGGTTCCCGAGCCGCGTTCATCCCCACCCATCGCTTACACTGGCGCTGCCAGGTTGACCCGGGTTAGGGAAAGATGCCGCAGCGTTCATCTGTCCGCTGGCTCCCTCTGCCCCCTCACACAGTCCTCGTAGCGCGGTGCCGTCCATTGCCATGGAAACAGCGGGGGCGGTAGATGGAGAGGGCCGTCTAGAGTGACAGCCTTGACAAGAGTCTGGACCCTCAAATGACCCTGGGGAGGGGGAGGAGAAAAGATGGCGTGGGGGGGGGGAGACGGGGAAAGGTCAATGCGTTGGCAGTCACGTGTGATTACGGTCATGAGGTTCAAGGGCATCTACACTGTGACCTCTTTCTGTCTCCGGGTAAAGGTCAGCCCCACAGCACAATAGAGCCGTAAAGACACTTAAATATGGGAACCACATCGGGGAGTTTAGACTAAGCATTGTCCTTGTTTCTCTGTTAAAAATAAAGAAAAAAAGCGGCTGTTTCCTCATCGTCGCCTGGCGTACAGCAAATGGACACAGCCTAATTAGATTTCCGCTACTCACCACCCGCCCCCCCCCGCCCCCCTCGACCACGGCATTGCACAGTCCGAGTAAGTGGGGTTGTCATCATTACTGCCCATTGTGCTGTAACATGAGTTGCATCATCCTTTTAACTAGGTCACTTCTTCTTCTTCTCCCCCCCCCCCACCCCCTCCTCTTTCCTTATCAAACATTGGTTGGTGGTGTTGAGTCGCCTCGCAAGCGCTACCTCCCCCACATCTGTTTAAAACCAGGCTGCTGGTGTCTGGGGGCTAATTACGCCAGGCTAAATAGTCCCTGGCGCCAGAGGCTAACGTGTCCTAGCAGATGGGCACTGGTGTTGCAGGGCAATGGGAACACGGCGTCACAGGAAGGGAGGGGGAAGGAGGGGTACAGGGGCCCTAGGTGGTGCCCTGGCAGACTGGCGTCGTGTGGGTAACAGCCGCGCCACCCACTCACCATCCAGCCACCCTCGCCATAGGTGTGAAATCACACTTTGTACTTGCTTAACTCATTCCTCTTTCCTAGGAACAGGCCTTACATCTCGGAGGACATTTCAAAGGCCCTCTCCCCTCTGCAGTGCTCGTTACCACCCTAACAAAGGTTGCATTAAGCCCATTTTTGAACCACAGTGAAGCAGGAAGACTAAAAACCAAACGGAGAAGCTGTAAATGTGTAGCTCATGCGGTACTTTTTGTTTGATTATTATTAAAAAAAAAACTCTAGTGGGATCCAGCAGGAACAAAGCAACACAGACCTTTTTGGGTTACCATTCAAATGTAGGCTAAATAAAAGGGAATTAATCCAATCAAGTCTAGTGAAAGTTCATGCATATGGTTTTCATTAGAAAATGCTTCTTTTTTTTTGTCAGCGTCGGAGCAATTAGCTGAACGCAGCAAGAAGCTAGAAAGTGGGTGTTGATTTCTAAGAGCATTGGCAGTTCTTGCAGCCGTTGCAAAGGCTGATTGATCAAGAATCAGGAATCAGAATCAGGAAACATTTATTGCCAAAATATGTCAAACATACAAGGAATTTGTCTTGGCGGTTGGTAAGTAATTAAAGCCGGTTGTAATCGGACTGTACCTCGTCTTCCGCCAAAATATTTTCCACGATCGCATGCTACTGTAGAAGCCACAACTGAGCGAGGTAGCACACGCGTCACTGTAAACTGGATACATCTGACAGTCACACGTCTCATCATTAAAGTGTTCCATGTTTTAATTCTGCTGTAAGCCTTCGTTTGCCACAGATGAATCCCCCTGGTTAGTTCTGCACTTCCTCGAGGTAGCCACATTTGATCCTACTGCGTAACATCTCTGCTCTTTAATGCGAAACAAAAGCCATTGTACATCTCCTGCTGGCTATAATGTTTGGGTCAAAAAAGGTGGAGGACTTGCTTAATGTGTGCAAGTAGGTTAAGATGACGATGCAGACAAGTTTATGGACATTGTTGCTTAAATTGCACTAAATCTGTGCTTTTTCTTTGCGTGTCTACTAGTTGTAGGTTCGGTTTATTTAAGTTAAAAAAAACTAGATTATATTTTTGACAGAAAACACAGTTTGAGCCCTACAGCTAATACCTTCCGGCAACTTGACAGGAGGACGTTTTTTAAAATGATTCACCCATTTTTTAAATGCCATCTCGGGTTCCTCGTCGTGGCCCGTCTCACCTCCACCAACTGTCCTCCTCTTTAGCTGTTTTAAATAAGCTGAGGATACGTCCCTATCTAATGCAGTCCATGGTAGTAAAGCCCAGTTAAAGGAAGGTTGGAGAACGTATCGTTATGGTTAAAGATGATTTACCTTGAATCAAATCAAAACAACAGAAATAACTAAGATGCTCAGAAGCCTTTCTTTCTTTCTTTTGGTTGAAAAATGCTACAAAGTGACTCAATCTTCAACCTCAGCATTAACTAAATGTGGCTGATCGCAGCAGACCGTGTAAGCAGTTAACCATTCTAACTCACCACACCGGCTTTACAGTCCAGTATTACATGTTTAGTTCTCCCGTGTCCTCATCATGCCCCCTCAGTGTGACCGCTTGTTGACCTCTCTTATCCCCTCGCCGCTGCCCCCCCCCCCCCTCCATCTTTCCTTCTGTCTCATTGGCTCCTCGTCACTGCTCGTAGCTCTATTTACAGGAATACAGAGTTGATTCGTTTTGGCCTGTTTCCTGGGTCCTGGTTCCTTGTGATTGACAGAATGCAGACAGAGTCGCTTATTGTCGTTTTCTCTCTCGACATTCTACTATAAATCAGCTCCAGCTTGTGCCAACAGTTTCAGTTTTTTTCTTGTTTGGTAAGGATCACTTTAGCAATGGCCGTATCTGGTTCCTTTATGGCAGAGGTCACTAACTGGCGGACCGCGGTCCGGATCCGGACCCAGAAGCCCCGCCCGCCCCATCCGGACCCGGACCAAAGGCTGAAAAACAACGTGAACAACGTGATTTTAACGTGCAGTGCGCACTTTTCGACCGCGCAGCTTTGGTCGTCTTTACGGTAGCCAATTGTATTCGAGTTAAACCATCCCACGTGATACCAATCGACCAATCGAGTCTTTGCATTCCAGGCAGGACGATGATATTGTCTCAATAGTGCAGACAGACAAGAGAGGTAGCGGCAAATTATGAATAAAAGACGGTAGGAAGAAAAGAAAGATAGCGAAATTTGAGAAAAAGGCGAGTGAGACGAAGAAAGCGAGAGAAAGAGACGGGTGAGAAAAATTAAGAACAAATGGCACTCTGCAAAAAGAGACAAGTGGACAGCGAAAGTAGAGCATTTAATCCATAATAGACGGACTCGTTTCTGTTCATGCTTCTGTTCTCCTCCACGTGAGGAGGAGAACGGCCCTGATGCATTCAGGCCCAGGTTTAAAATCCTGGCAGGTCAAACTAGATCTTAATTCTCCCACTTACCAAAAAAGTGGGCGAGTCGATCTATATATTCGAATAAAGTGTTCAATTGTTAAAATGTGATTTGTTATTTATAATTTGCTGTAACGTCCAAATCTAAAGCAGAAAAGGGGACATTTTTTAAGTTTATCTTACCGTTATTTCATTTTTTTCTGAATTGAAGCACTTTATTTGAACAATTTTCACTTTTTTTTAAACACAGCCCTTTATTTATTTAATTGAGAGAACATTATGTATTTTTGCAGTCACGCACATATGTTATTTGTTACGTGACAATAAATATTGTCAAAAGAGTTTTTGAATCTTACTGAATTCATTTGATTTGCTAGTGGTGTTTTGATTAAATGCAAATGTTGATACAGCAACTATTCCCCTATTTAATCACACTAAGTAGTCACATTCTAATCGTCCGGACCTTTTGCTTCGAGAAATGTTCTCTAACTGGGCCTCTTCACATTTCAGTTGAAAACCCCCGCTTTATGCGCTGCCTATCAAGCATGCTGCTCCGGAGTCCGATGTAGCCGCTGTTTTGCGACCGTCGAAGGGCTGATCTACTGAGCGCTAGCCGGTCGAGGATCAATTGTAGCAGCAGCTGTCTGTGAAGTCTGCAGGCAAGGCTGCTGTGGCTCCCACATGACACGCAGTCTCCACACTGCAGCCTTTGAAGCGCATGAACTCTTCACCCCTGTCTGAGCAGGTCGGCTGGAGAGCAGCAGAATAGAGAGATGCGAGAGATTGAGAGAGAGGGAGAGAGAGAGAGAGAGGGAGAGAGAGAGAGCGGGAGAGATGGGGGCGGGGAAAGAGAGATGTGGAATAACAGAGCAGGGCGAAAGGTAGGCTAGGAGACTGTGTAGAGGTTGTCATTTAGGCTCTAGCCATCCCCATCCATCTGTCTCCCCCAGCTCTTCTCTCTCTCATCCCACTTTATTTTTTCCTCTCCTCCCTTCGGGTGTTCTTTTTCTGGCCCTGTTTGACCATTCCTGTCTCTCTACTCTTCCTCACGTCTCCCTCCCTCCCTGCCTGTCCGCCCGTCCTACGTTTTTGTTCCCGTGCCATCGACGCATCAAAGCGGTGCAATAAATTGACTTTGAGCGTTAAGTCACTAATGGTGTGTGACTTTTTTTTTTGTGTGTGTGTGTAGTAACAAATCTGTGGCGTATCCTACTGTATATTCTCAGCGAAAGAGGCTGTCACGTCCTCGCAGATTCAAGTAGACGCCAGAGGTCAAAGTTGGTCACTAAAAACAGCACATGACACAAACCCTGATCACTTTCGCTCTGACTCAAAACTAGAGTCGTGCTGCTTCAGAGGGAGCAAGGTGTATGTACATCTAGATGTTATTGTTATTCGAAATAACAATAGCATACAGATCACATGCACACACAATTTAAAAATGTGCATTTGGTTGCCTTTAAAAAGCCAATGGACCTGGAAAAAAAGCGTTCTTCACATTTGGACACTCTTCAGCCCACATTAACCCGAGTGACTTGCAATCTGATTTACTGGTTTATTAGTTTCTAATTACCACAGGCAGTGTTTCATGATTAAGCACTACTTGCATTTTTTTGGTTTGTTTACCAAATGCATAAATGCTCCTTAAGTAACGGAAAGTTAAGCAAATGAAAGATGTTGAATATCCTTTGTTCACTAAACGGGAATATCCTTTGTTCACTAAAAGTTATGTTGGTATATGTTGTCTTGAAATAATCAGACAAGACATCCAGCCACACTCTATACAGGACTTTGTTTGCTTGTAATCCAATAATTGTAAACATATCAGTTTCCTTGATTTCTTATATTTCCGCAAAGCAGCCCTGTGTAGTTTACCATTAGTTTGTTTTTACAATATTATAGGACGAACCACCTTGTTTTTGTGGTGGTGCAACTATCATACAAATATATAAAACCCACACACATAACTTCATTTATTTCCCATTATTCTAGAAATTATTTGTAGTTTTTTTTTTTTCTAGTGGATTTTGCAGAGGGAAGCAATGCTATTTAGTGAAAGAGGGAACAGACACTTTTGGACACACATACACTCTTTCAGAGCTGATTGTGTGGCCTAATGGCAGCTGGTGTATCACAGTAGAGGCTTCTGCACCAAAGGGGATGACACACACACACACACACACACACACACACACACACACACGCTTACTTACAGACTGGATTCAGGCAGCCTGAGTGCAGCTTTTCATGGCTTCAGAACATTAGGTCGTGACCCCAACCAAAAAGCCACAGTTATTATCAGTGTGGGAAAAAGGCCACATTCTCATTGTGTGACAGGTAGACTTCTGCTTTGACCCGCTGTGATGTTATACTTCCAATGTGGTGTCAGTGTATTCACCAAATATTTATCTCTGTGTCACGTGACCTCCCTGCGTCTGTCCTCGCGCTGGCGGCACATATGGCGTCCGTTAGTGCGGGCTCGCCTCTCTATGTGTAGCCGCGTGTTTTTGCAGCGCAGCGGCCCACTCAGCATCTCGTCGTTAGGGTGGTGATCCTATGATGGAAGCTTGCGTGTCCCTTTGGTGACCCTTAGAGACTTGCCCCCCCCCTCCCCTCCCCTCCCCTTCTTCTCCCGCCTCGCCTCCCTCCCGCCCCTCTCCTCTTCTGCCCGTGCATCAACCTCTCTTAGGATACTCTTGGCCAACTGGAGCCACCTTATTAAGGGATTAGTGATGCTGTGTGTCCGTGCCCCTCGAATGCATGATACACGTGGACCTCGGGGGGGGGGGGTGTATTACTTTGACATTCACCCACATAAACGCGAAACTCAGGCACACACATTTATTGAGGAGATATTCTGAATCACATGCGCCCAGTGGTGTTGGTATATAACATGGGCCTCGTTCTGCAGAGGAGCGGAGAATGCGGGGGGAGGGGTGGCAGGGTCAGCGCCGGGTCAATGTCTTGTATCTCCCTCTCTCCATCTCTTCTAGCCCCCCCCCCACACCCTCTGTGCCCCTCCCACTGATTCCAATGCCCTGCCAAATTCATATATCCCATAATCGCACTGAGTCGCCATGTCAGCAGCACTGTATCCACCCCACCGCTTTGTCTTGCTCTCGCTCCCGATCAGACGGAGGCGGCGACTCTTTCCATCCCCACAGTCACAGATGAAGATACTGTGGATGTAGCATTGGTGGATGTATTGATTTGTTTATTCCGAACGTTACAGCTGCGCAGTGTATACTTACTCCAGCCTAAACAAGTCGATTTAGCCACAGAGGTTTATGAGACAACAGAATAGCGCCGCATGAAGAAATCAAAGCTTGCATCACAGTTTTCTTTTTAATAACATGGACGATATTATTTTGTTTATGTCCGTAGAGAGCGATCTCATCCCGGAATCGGGACATCACAATCAGTTGCCCTCCTTGCTATATTTCGGCTGGTCACTTTGCCTCACCTCTTGGTAGGAGGAGTGTTTTCACTGCTGTTTTCACCTTTCAGCTCATTGTTCACGTGCTGAAAACCTTTGATCAATCAGATACTCTTCTATCCAACACCCCAAGTTATTATAAGCGTAGCTTTTTATTGCAGTTAAAGTGTTTTGGTGCCTTTCCTGTATGCTTCATTGGACTTGCATGAGGTGCAGAGGCCCTCCCCCGAGCGGCTCAGCGACCTCTCGTTGCTCTCTTGCCCTGATAATTACACAGCTAGATTCTAACCGGCTCAGCTCAGCTTAAGCTGCAATGTTTTGGCTGTTATTTGGATTTTCCTATTTGAGTTTTAATTCCCCCTATACAACTATTTCATAAATATATGCTGCGTGGGTTGTTGTATTTGTATTTGGGTGAAAGGCAAATGTTTTTTTCTCGTGTTTTATTTATTTCTCCTCATAATATTCGTTCCTTTCTGAGGGATTTGTTGTTGATTTTTTTTCTCTCGTGAGAATACTCTGACAATAGAGGGTTTTACTGATTGTTTAACCTTTTGAGACGGGTGCGTGATATTTGATTTGGGGCCCTTATGAATAAAACTGTCGAGACTAGTTCAACATATCCAACGGGTCATTTGGCAGCTCAAGCATAATTCAGGCAAATCAAGTCTAAACACTTATTCCACTTTCGTCCAAACATCTGCTGCAGAGAACAACAAAGATCAGTACCAGAAGGTGAAAGTAAAGCCAGAGCCCATGGAGGTGGACCCACCCCCCGCTGAACTCTCTCCACCTGCCTCTCACCTGCGGGCCTGCAGCACTTTAAGGGCGAGTGAGAAGACCGAGCCAATGAGTAACCTTCTAGAGACGTTGGCCCGCCCCCAGAAAGACCTGTTCTCCCAGGACATATCGGTCAAAATGGCCTCCGAACTACTTTTCAAATTGTCAGGTAAGATTCTTGCACACATCAGACACGCGTTGTTCTCTGGCTCGTTATGTGCACACACACACACACACACACACACACACACACAGTGTCCTTTTCTCCTCGCAGCACCACGGTGTAAACCGTGGACAGGTTCTGATACTGGACTATAAAACCTCCTGCCTTTTACCTGTCCGGCCATGAAAGCAGCACACGGCTGTACATTGCTAGATCAAGAGAGAGCATTAAGAATTCCCCCTCCTCCCGTGTGTGTGTGTGTGTGTGTGTGTGTGTGTGGAGGGTCAGGCTTGCAGTCCTGGGCTACAACCCTGGCTTTCTCCTGCCTCTAAATGCTATATATATATATTTATATATATATAGAGAGAGAGAGAGAAACACTTGTCTAAAAATCTGTTTCCTCCTCTTGCTCACACACATATTCACAAATTCACACATTTACAGTCTTTCTTTCCCACACAGTCTTGCATGCACACCTTTACACACTCACATAAGGCCCCATGGGGAGTGGTGTCTGCACAAATACTCCCTCCTCCCTCTTCGCCTTTCTCTCATTCTTTCACTCTCTCTCCCTCGACTCGTTTTCAGACATGCCGGCTCAAGCACACTTGGCTGCACACGCTCTCCCCCTGCACTTTCACTCCCTCCCTTTACATTTCTCCCGTGCGGCATCTCCATGGCAACGTCGAAAGAGACCTCTGTCCTTGGCGAGGAGTTTGACGGAGCGGGCTGTTTAAAGGGTGGCGGTGGGTTGTAGTAGTGGGAGGGGAGGGGGGGGATAAAGAGGGTAGAGAGGGCAGCAGGGGTACACAGTATGCCCACCCAGGGAGGCTAGGGCATTGCTCGCCTGGCAGTGTCGATGACCGCCCCCCACCCCAACCCCCAAGAACTGGGTTTGAATGTGAGGGGAACTGGAGCATAGTGGGCTGCTGTCACACAATGAGCAATCAATATGAATTACCCAGAGCAGTAGGACCTCAGAGACACATCAGTAGCAAGGTCGCTCTGAACGCTGAGATGGTTGCAGCTTTGAAAGTCTCTTCAATATATCGCATTGAGACATGGACGGCTTCATCCTCCGGCGTTATGGACAACGACTGGATACCGAAAAGCCCGCAGTATGGACGCTCGCTTCGGCCGGTCGAGTAATGGCATCGGCTGATTTTCCATCCTGACTTTATTACCATTTAGAAACCTCATTAAAACATGTCCGTCACTGTGAGCAAGGAGAGGTGGACACTATGTTACAAGTACAGTATTCAGTGAATCTCCTCAGAAACAGCCTGTGGATCTCTGGCACACAAAAGTGGACTTGGATGCCCTCGGCCTTAAACTAAACCTGCCTTGCATGGGAACAGAGCCCTAAAACAGGTGCGATCCGAGGTGTGAACAATGCAAAAACTGTTAAGTGGTCGCAAAGCCATCGAGGCTTTTTGGATAACACGAGCAATTATCGATTTTGACAGTGAGTCAGTCAGTGGATGTCTTCATTTACTGTGCTTGTTCACATCGTTCCGACACTCCACTGTAATCATCAGCGTGTTGCTATGTCGAAAAAATGCGAACCTTTGTGAGTTTTTAGAAGTTGGAAGTACAAGAGACAAACGCCACAGCTAGTTACAATCAGGTGTTAATGTGTGAGGGGAGAAAAACGCTGCATGAAGGTCGGACACAGGTTGGTTTGATAATCACCAGTTGGCCACACATTTTGCATTTATTTCCCCCAAAAGTAGCACCATGAAATAATATTTTCGCACTGATTAATAGCTTTTTGCCAGACGTTTCCTGTTTTCCAAAGTATATTTTGTAGAAGTTTACAATGTACCGTTAATGCTATCGATCAAAAGAACCTTGGCCAACACAAATGCAACTGTACCAGATACACTTATGTGCCATCTGGGTTGTCTTATCTGAACAGCTATGCACACTTCAAATATATATATATATATATATATACGTATCTGTGTTGTTGGGGTAACTTTTGGCTCACAGGTCGGCAGAGACTCCCACTACTCCAGATGGCCAGTACACCCCTGCTGGCATGGCCAACCTGTGCTTTACCAGCCCAGTTGAGCCTCGAGGAATAAGGAGGACGTAGTTTGTTTCTATATTATTTTGAGCATTTTATAGAGGTCTATCTAAATATCTCTCCTATACAGAGGACCTGAAATGAATATTAAAAGAGGAGATTTGTTAAGTCAAGGTCCACTCACTAGTTTTTCATGGAGCCTCCAACCATGATCTTCATCTGCTGGAGTTTCCTCTGTTGTCATGGAGATGCCTCCGTTGTTGTCTTGTAACTGTGGAACTCAAGTCGCATGATAACCGTCAGTCAGGTAGATTATAACCTGTGTCTGGGTGAAGGTCTTTTATGGGGCCTGGTTTGCATAAATACTGCATTGAATAACTATAAATGATACAAAGTATATAGATAGTTTTGGGTTGACTGTGTTTAAAATGTTTTGTTTTCTTGTTGTTTTTTCAGAAAAAGTCAGCAAAGCCAACAACCACAAAGACAGTAACATGGTGGGAATAAACAGGTTAGTCAATCGTATAGCATTTGTCTCTTGATGATAATATTGATTAATATCCTGCTTTCTTTCCCAATATAGTTTAAATGTGTTCTTAATTCAGCAGCCATGTTAACTGATCATATTATGCTTCCTGTTTCAGTCCGTTTCTGGACGACTGCTTCAGACAATCACCGTTTAACTCGCGCTCCAAGAGCTCTTCCCCCGCAGAACCCAGCTCTTCTACCAGGGCACTGTTCCATGGTGAGACACATGGGAAACACACACACACACACACACAGGAAGATGTGCTAGTAGTGTTAATACATTATCTCAGCTCATGTCGTGTCTTTCAGATCTGCAACTAAGTTAAACTATTGTGCAAATGAAGCGTTTTGAGTATTTTTGTAGAATGTATACTGGTTCCAGCTGCTCAGATGTATACATTTGCTATTCCTGCCCTCATGTGCGACTGTAACTCAAATATCCTTTCTGGTATGCGCACCAGAAGAATCATCCTTGTTTTATGTATTTTTTTTAATAATATTCAAAAAAATGATCTCCAGCTTGTCAAGGCAGAAGAACCGCTGCGTCATTATTAAGAATCAAAGTAAGGAAAAGAAAAACATTCCCAAGTCTTGTTTCCTGCCGAGTTTCTCACCATCAAAACTACACATGAAGAAACCTTTACATCTGAGCCACAAGGACACTTCTCAATCAACCACCTTCGACTTCATCTCACCTTCCTCTCTGGCGAAACACCCCCCACCTCCCCCCTCCCCCCCCCCTCTTGTTTCATATTTAGAGCTCCATCCGGCCCCACTGCACTCAAGCATTTCCCCAACCCTGAAGGCCTTTGCCCAGGGCATCCCCCCCCGTCTCCCTCTCCTCCCGTCTTCTCTGGCATCCCTGAACTTCCCTCCGCGTTCTTTTGGCAGTGAGAGATCCAGAGGTTAATTAGCTGGTGCCAGCTTTGCCTGTCCCTGTGCCAGTTAATGAAAATCTGATTGGCTCCTGGGTGTCAAGAGTGTCCTGAAAGTTAATTCGCCCCGACCGCCTCCCCTTTCCCTCGTGTGTTTAAGCTTCACATCCAGACTCCGCCGCTCGCAGTACCAGTCTACTCCTTTCTCCCCCCTTTTCATCTTCTCCCCGTATTACAAACCCCTGCTCCAATTATTGGTAGGCATCTGTAGTCGCTGCTGTGGGCAGGAGGAGCTTTAATCAAAGATATTTTCTGCTCAGTGTTTGGGGAGCTTTACTGTTCTTTGCTGTTAGTTCACATCATCTTTCCTTTACAGGCAATCCCACTTTTTGAAAACACCAGTAAGAGATTCTGAGTTCATTTCATCATTACTGGTACATAAATTGCACTTGTTTTAAAACAATTGATTAGTGATGAGTGACCACTGGTCTCATTGGGACCGTGATTGTCTTTTTTAAAGGCCAAGCTTGACAGCAGATATTTTAGTACCACAGTTGACAATGTAAACTGGGGAAGATTACATATTTTGATTTAATGGTTAGTGTCGTCGACATAATTTGCGCTTTCACATTCAGCAGTATTTCTTAGACAGAAAATCCCTCCTTGCAACGGCTATTAAAGCAACTTCCAGGCTTCTCGCTTCAGTCTGCGGTTTAGCACAATCCCTCATTTCTCGTTTGTATCCCCCCCTCCTCTCTCTCTCTGGCTCTAAAGGAACTAATTAAGCCATTAACCACTTCAGGGCTTACGCCACACCCTAACCGGCTTAATCATCCGTGTGCTCGCCGGGTCGTGGCCACGAGGCCTCGCTGTGCGGCTTCTCATCACCCGTGTGACCGGGCTGTCCCCCAGTCTCAGGACAAGTTAATGCTTTTATGTGCTGCGCTTCAGCCACAAGCCCGATAAGAAGACCTAGGATTCTCCGAATGAGCCACAGAGACAACAAGTTGAGAACACAGGGTTGAAACGGATGTGATTGGCCCGTTGAAGTCAGAGTTCGGGTCATTCACTGTCATTCTGAGAGGAAGGTTTCAGCTTATGCAGGAGGTTTTTGCAGGAAGTTGCATTTGGTTTCTTAATTTGTCCCGTGTTGCGTCACCTTCGTCATCTGTGTGTGTTTACTGCCGGACAGGAACCACAAATTTTTAGCCAAATTCTGCTCTTCCCGGATTTACCATCACACACATGCCCCTCCCCCCTCACCCTGATGACTGGGGTGTGTCACAAACCTGCAGTTTACCTGCAGTAAAAGGTCGTAGCAAGAGAGAGAGAGAGAGAGAGAGCTAGTAAATTCTCTTCATGGAGAAGCTGTCCCTCCCCCCACAGACATGGGCAAGTCCCTTTTCTGAAGAAGCAACTTAAATGTTGAATTGATTAATCGACTGCTATTGATGTAATTTCAAGTTGAACCTGATCTTGGTGTCTCAGCAGGCTCTGCTCACTCAAAATGATATAGTCCTGCAGCCCATTGATTGGATCTTCGATTCGCCACATTTTCTAGAGCGAACTTTGCAAAAAAATAATGTGAACTCATTACTTCCCTCAAAGTAGTTTGAACGGGATGTACCTCCTTAAATTTGAGTTCATAGAAATATTCTTTCTGTAATCCCAAATTATGACAGCTGCATTATACCCATCAGAACACACTTCGTATTTCTTAGAATGATACCAAATTCCACAGGCCTTTCATTCCAAATCAAGTTTACGTGTAAAATGCAATACCATATAATTGTGTTTGAATAAATAAAGAACAATCTTTGGTGGCACATATATTACCAAAATGAGATACACCTGCATTCCTACCCATGCAGGGAAAGTCGGTTGTTTCAGAAGCACGCTGACAGCAATAGTACAGAAAATGTAATCAAAAGGTGGTGTAGAAACAACAGAACAGCATATTGAGATAAAAAAGATGCCTGGATGTAGTTTGCTTGCACCCTGACCTTATTGTGTGTCCTTATTCCCTTTCCAGCGGTTTGCATGTGTATCAGACATACTCGCTTTGTTTCATTGGAAAAGATAATAAAATACAATAAACATACCCCCATATGTCAGAAAGAATCTTTGCTTTTTCTCATTGTGCAGAATGCGATTTTAAGAAGTAATATTCCTGTCGAATTTAAATTGTGTGACCTGAAGAACCGTAGACTATCAAGCTCATAAGCATTTTAGTCAGAGGGGGGAACTTAGCAGCGGATTTGTTTCCACTTATGAACTCTGAAAAACAAAATCTGAATAACTAGACTAATGACTTGGCATTAGAAAAGTTTTAGCATATAAAGTCCTTTTGTACATTAAGTAAACGCCTGCATCTGATAAAGTGATGTATGTTTTCATCCCCGCTTCAGAGCAAAGGACCGGTGCTTGCTTTTGACATTGGGAATGCATCCCCCCCCCCCCCACACCCGCCAGGCTGGTCGAAGAGCCTCCGTCAAATGGCAGCAGACAGGTTAGCCACATTAGCCCACAGGCAGCAGTGTGCTGTTTCACCGAAACCGATGGAAATGAGACCTTCCTGATGTGTTTATCATTTTTTTGACCCAGACACACGCTATCAGGGAGTATCAAGTCACTAAATGAGTGAACGTGATGCTGTGAATCACAAAGGAAGAACCGATTATTAACCACAGAGCTTTCTCTCTCACTGTGATCGTCATCTGTGTTTCGCGTGGTCTTTAACTCTCCTGAGCAGTTTGTCCCTCTTAGCCCGTCACCTCTAGCCTCTCCGGCCCAGTCCGCTCCATAGGGCGGAGGCTCAAGGCATCCAAAGCCAAAGGGCTGACGGAGGTGGTTGGAGGGTAAACGGGCACCTTCACAGAAGCTGAATACTGAATGAGATTATTAGAGCTGAGCAGGAAGGAACAGTTTTTGGAAAAAATGCTTATTCTCTACAGCAGACGAGGTTATGATAGGAGGAGGAGGAGGAGGAGGAGGAGGAGGTTGGCTAGAAATGGCTAGAGTGGCACTTTTCAAAGTTCAAAAACAGAACCACATGCGACTTTTAAAGCGCAGGTAGTAACGGGCAGAACAACCCAAATATAAATACAACACGCTGTGGTTTTTATCGTGGTCTTTGTGCTGAGTTGAGCCAGCGTATATCTAGAACACTTTGGTGCATCCCCCCGTTTTCACATCACCTCGCACCTGTCTACTAATGAACATAAGGCAAAATACCACACAAGAGTTTAAAAGGGATGGATGAAATCAAAGAGTCAGCGGTGAATGATGGTTTCCGGGGCTTCTCTGCTCTTTGATCCAGACTCCGAGAAGGACGACGGGGAGCCGGGAAACGGGGTCGCGCCGTGGAGACTAAACGAGCAGCTCTTCCCGTGTCCCGTCTGCGGCAAAGTGTTCGGCCGACAGCAGACGCTCTCCAGGCATCTGTCTCTGCACACGGGTAAATAAACACACGTGCACACCGGCGCTGCGCCATCCCGTTTCTTTGTTTGATTCACTGATGTTCGCGGCGGAGCTTGGGCTGCTCCCAGTAAGTAAATAAGGTTGACTAGACTGGATTACCCTTCTTTTAAAGAGATTACTACCGTGATTAGTCTCTCTGGGAAAACTGCCCGTCTAATTACCCAGCTAGAGGTATGCCTCTCGGAGTAACACACACACACACCAGTAATTCTCTTATGCAGTCACGATTGGTTTCCTTCATTCACTTTGTTTCTCACACTCAGACACGCGAGACTTCCTCGCGGTGAGGCCGCCCTCTCCCTTGTGTCCTGATTACTCTGCGTTTTCAGACGTGGCCGTTCTTTGCTCCCAATTGATCCACGGTATCCCATCACAGTCTACTGCGATCCCTCTCTCTGCTCCTTATTAGAGAAAATAAACAAATTAATATCCTGCTTAAGCTATTTTATTTGAAGCAAATTAAACGCCGGATTAGAAAAATGAATGCAACCTACTTGGGATTGCAGACTAAATTGCCAGGCGCACAAATGGAGACTCGTGTACGAAATGCCCCCACTCAATTGGACATGCTCTCCCGTTTTGCGCGCGCGCACACTCTGCACGCCATCTGAGAGTGTTGGCTGTGAACAGCTTGGCCACACCACAGAGAGCAGAAGCAGGGGCATATGTCAGTGTGATGGTCTTTTTGGTTTCCCAGGCGACATAAAGGTTGCCTGGCTTCATGTCCTTAGGGCAAATGGTGCGTGTGTGTGCGTGCGTGTGTGTGTGTGAGAGAGAGAATTTAGGGGGAGCCAGAGAGAGAAGACATTGTTTTGGCATAAAATATATATATTTTTTCCTTTTATCTTGGTTTGAGTGCTTTCAAATAAACTAAAATGAGGTCCGCATCCTCCTATTGTGGCATCTGCAGTAATACCCAGAAGCTCCCTGAAAGTATGGCTGGGCGAGGCACCAGTTCAATCACTATACCAGTATAACATTTCCGTACAATATGAATTTCTCATGTACCGTTTGCGTTGCACCGTAACAAAGGACGTTGCTCTTCGGCAGGCGGCCGAATTTATTTTTACTCGTCATTGAGGCGCGGCCAGCGATCGGAGCTGCTTGTCTTACGTGTGTTGAGATTGAGTCACGGTTATAACTTTATACCGACAATGAAAACCTCCACAAAAACCACTCTTTAACAGGCTAAAACACCACGACACAACAGCTTGTGACACATAAACAATTTGTAACACTAATAACTGTACATTTATAAAAATTACCCCGTCGAACTGCATGCTGGGTACAGCTCACAACAACAAGTAACTCTGTTGCTACATGAAAACACGCAGAAGGGCAATACAGGAGATGTGTTTACTTGAAAACGCAATACCGTCACATACTGGGATACCGTCAGAAACTTTCTAAATACCTTGATATGATTCTTTGGCCACACCGCCCAGCCGTACCTGAACGGTTTCTTTTTTCTTTCTAGTCCGACATCACGAGATGTTTTTTTCTTGCTCTTCCCAGGATCAGAGTTAAAGTGAGGCGGGGTGAGCAGGCATAGGCATTAAATAATTGAATAAACAAGACGTAACATGTTGATTAGAGGCATTAAATAATTAGCTTTGAAGCTTGTTTTAAAGGCTCAGAGGTTGTGACTTAATGAAATATCCTGTGAGATTATGTTTGCAGTAACCTGGGGTCTTGTGTTTGTTTCCGCAGACGAGAGGAAGTACAAGTGTCACTTGTGTCCGTACGCAGCCAAGTGCAGGGCTAACCTCAATCAGCACCTGACCATCCACTCCGTCAAGCTGGTCAATACAGATGCTGAGCAGATAGTCAGCGCTGTTACAGCCGAGTCCGCTGAGCGCAAGAACTGCCCCTACTACTACAGGTAATGACGATGGGCCCGAACACAACACACCCTGTTAGGAAGGCCTCCTGCCAACACCACGGATTTAAATTATGTTGGATATCTTTTTAAAAAAATGTATTAATTACTTTATTTTTGTTTTTGTTGGCCTTTTTTTTGGAAATTCTTATTATTAATATTGATCATTATTTCGGATGAGAAATTAAAACCAGACTCATACCCGTTACCCTGTCATACAGCATGAGGCTGTGTCTAGATAGTCCAAAGGTAAATTTAAAAAAAGGTCTCTAATCAACATGTTACGTCTTGTTTATTCAATGCATTCAAGAAGGGTTTTATGTGCTGGTAATGATGTCCTATAGTTTTACATCAACAAAAAGACCCGCAAGAAATCAAATAAGTAATCCAAAATGTCGTACTAATGCTTAAATACTTTTATGTGGTTAATGATCTGGAACGAGTTCAACAGCACCACGTCTGCTGTGAGGAACTATTTCATTTCCAATTGTCTATTAAATGAATATAAATGCATCCACTATGTACCACTTACCAATTTATGCAGGCACGATCTAACACTAAAGCTGACGGTTCTTCTCGCCATCTTCCTTCCCTTTCCTCTTGTGTTCTCTGTCCAGCTGCCATGTGTGTGATTTCCAGACGGAGCAGAACGCCCAGTTTGTCAGCCACATGTCGCTCCATGTGGACAAGGAGCAGTGGATGTTCTCGCTGTGCTGCAGCGTCTGTGACTACGTCTGCATGGAGGAGAACGACATGAAGAGCCACATTAGCACTGGACACGCAGGTACAGAGTCTCGGAGGATGCGTGTCGATCCACGTGCAAATACTCACAACCTAGAGGCTTTCACAAGAACTTGCATTAAAATAATTATTGAAAGGAATCGGTGAATCGATCATCAAAATAGTTTCTTCTGGGGATTTTGACGTTTCTATTGCTTAATCGGCTGATATACTGCTAGTTTCCGCTTTAGGGTGATGTTCTTGTGACTGCTGTTCATGCTCCATGTTTTCGCACTTAATGTATCACCAAAGGGCATGATTCAAACCCTAGAAAAATGCTCTGTGGTGTTATTTTTTATATTTCCCTCACATGTTGGAGTGGGTGGTAGCTTACACAGTGTGGCTCTTGTTCACAGCTCAGAATAGAAATACAGCACAGTACTTGGACGGTGACACATTTTCTATTGTTTTGTCTCCGTGCTTTAAATTCAAACCGAGGCTTCAACGGTTTTGAGAAATGAAGTCTTTTTGTGCAAAGTGTCTCCAATGATGAGGTTAAACTTTTCACTTCATTAAACACACTTACATTAAATATGGCTGTTTTTACAATGAATAGTTTACAAAAATTAGGGAAATTGACATCTATCGCTCACCTTGTTAAATGTGCCCCTCCCACCTCCCCAGTGGAAACCCACATCAGAAAATCTTATCTTTGTATTTTTACTTTAAAAAGACTTAAGCAATAAATGATCAGCAAAATCTGTGCACATGCATTGATGAACTAATTGACTGGTTTCAGCTCACCTCATATATGAAGGACTGTCTAAGTAGACTGTAATGTGTCTACTAAGGTAACTTAAACGTCATAAACACCTTGTTTTGTATCAGTTCAGAGGACACGAGGAAAAATAAGCTGTAGAATTGGGTTTCACAAACTGGTCGACCTCCTTTGGACTTATAAAGCTGCCGGATTGAACCCCCCTCCACCCCCGTGTGGTCAATAGGAGTGTGTTTGTCTAAAACAGCTTTGTTCGGTTTATTGCTGACGTTTTGGTCTTCCACTGTTCCTCTGTGTGTGTGTGTGTGTGTGTGTGTGCGCGTGGGTGGGTGGGATTGTCCGGCCCAGACAGCTGAGGGGTCTTTCAGAGGCCACAGTGGCCTTGTTTATCTGAGAAGGTTGGCCCTTATCGTGCCTGAGGGGGGGAAAAAAATCAATAGGCCTTGGTTTCTTTGGAGACAGGCTTGGTTTATGATGCCACTGTGGCCATCTTTAAGTCTCTCATCCTGGCTCGCCATTCATCTCTCACGAGATGGACACCCCTGCCAAACCTACAGATTTGTAGTGGTTTGTCCTGTTTCTGCCTTTCGTTTTTGGTTAAAGTGTCTTCATACTTCACAGTGTAAGGTAGACTAAGCAGTACTTCCACACAGACTGTAAAATGTTATCTGGTCAACAAGCCCAGGCAGGAGACGGCTGAGCTCAGCAGGTGTCCTCGTTCAAGCTGACGCCCTGTGAAGACCGGACTCCACACGGGGAAAGGGTTGGTTGGGTGCCCTTAACTGCAGGGGGCAAAGTATTACTTGGTATCTACCCTGGATACACGGGCAGATAGACTTGCTTTGCCTCTTCATATCTGTTCCATGAGCGTTACTGGGCAATCGCAGACTAAGCCATTCATTAAAAGAGAAAATGGAACATTTTTTTTCTGCAAAGGTGTGTTTCAAGGTCAGGCCCACTGGCTCAAAGAAGCTCCTTTCCTTTTTTTCTTTCCTCTTTGCTTATATTCTGTGGCATTAGCCTTTTGGCTATTGTAAGAGGAGGCAAGTGTATGTTAAATACTGCAGCAGAGGAGATAAAAACCCCTCAAGCTGTCTCAATTCTGTATTCAAAATGCTGCTAAGACCGCTGAACTGACTCCGAATCCCCCTGGTTTATTTAGATTTCATTGAAAGTAATTAATCCCATCTTCTGACAATTCCTCGTGTGTGAACTCCATGCAGATATTCTTGTTTTTAGATGCGTGTGGAAGGAAGCCAGCTCGAGCCAGGGCAGCCTTTCTCTCCGCTTTCACTGCCGTCTGAGAGAACGGCCTTTGTTGAGCCGTGCCCCGAGATGCTCCCGCCATCTTAGCTCCTTCGGCCTTGACCAGCGCTCCTCACCCGTGCCTCCCTCTTGCCCCCCTCCCCTTCGAATTCCCTCGCTCCTTCCAGTGAATCGCAGACTTGGAGACCGGGATCAATAAAAGCACACTGCCTCTTGATTTGACTGGCAGTGAGGCCTCAGCCAGAGCTACAGAGGGCGTGTGTGTGTGTGTGTGTGTGTGTGTGTGTGTGTGTGTGTGTGTGTGTGTGTGTGCAGAACGCTGCAGCACTTGAAACTGGTTCTCTGCATAGATGATATCCAATCTTTTCCCCAGCGTTTCATATAACTAGCGCTGTAGCTGGTAACATTTGCCCCCAAATTTGCGTTTCCAGTTTTTATACTCCATTTATACGCCATCGCTGCTCTTCCGTCCAGGTCTGAGCTCCAGAAGTCCCCTCAGCGAGACCAAGAGCACGTCTTCTTCCCTCTCGGCCCTCAGCGACTCGCTCAACAGCTCGGAGGGCGGGGACCTCACCCACGGCAACGAAGAACTCCGGGGCCTGCTGGCCCTGCCCTCCTCCGCGGGAAGCCAGTCCAGCTCCGGAAGCCACTCGGGATCAGGAACCGAGGACAAGTCTGACAAAGGTGAGGGAATTCTGGGAAATATTGCAACCAGAACTTTTTTATCAGCAGTATGTATACTCCTGACTAACAAGGCAGCAATCAAGCAAAAAGTCATGTATTATTATGACTAGATCAATATTGATTGATTTCTCAACGTACTATATTTTGGGCTTTTGGTTGTGTACTCAACATACTATATTATATAGACACTCATTTTAAAGAAAATCAAAATACTTTGACTATGTAAAGCTTTTATACTATGACTCTAACGTAATATGCTGACTTATTATTGACATTTTCTGTATTTTTAACATAATATGGCTTCTTATTACAACCTTTACATTTTCTTTTCTTTTTCACATAACAATGGATGCCAATTTAAGACTAGAACCTCTTTCTAAATGAAAAAGCATGACTGTTTTTTTTCTAGCATACTATGACATTTTATACCGTGACTTTTATATGAAACCTTCCATGCTACCATAATAACACATTTTTTAAAACCATTTTGTCGCTTCCTCCCCCCTGAGCAATCACCATGGTGGCAGGATGTAAGTACCCCTTCAAGCAGAGGGAACGACAGACTACACCATTGAATGATGATAATAATAAAAGCAACAATGGATATCCCATTATATGGAATTACAGTAGCAGCGGGTTTCAAGCGGGGCCTCAGTAGTGTGGTGAAGGTGGAGGTGTACCCCCATCCATGGAACTCAGTCAGACAAGCCCCCAAGTTAGTGCCGTGCATTCATAGGCCGTGAATATATATATATATATATATATATATATATACGGATGGAGAAGAGGAAGCTCTCTGGCAGCCGAGGCCTGAAGCAGCACGACTAAGGGCCTGAGCGCAGCCCTTCATTATGCGAGCGCCTAGTTCTAGTGGGGTAATATGTTACTGTAAGCTCTTTAAGATACTTTGGCGCATCACCCTTCAGGGCTCTGTAAGTAAGGATAAGGATTTCATACTCTGGATCCTATATTCTGGATTTTAAAGGGAGCAGAGAAGCTAATACAGGAATAATGTGATGTCTTTTCTTAGTCTTCGTCTGTACACGTCCCGCATTCTGGATCAGCTGGACGGTCTGAGGAGACTTATTGGAGAGACATAGAATAGTGTGACATTACAAATGTGTATCTATGTTGTTAAATGTCCTTGAATAAGTCATCAGTACTTTACTATAGAAAGTCTGCTTATAGTATATTGTAAAAATAAAAATAATGTCTTTAAATAGGCCAGCATGTCGTTAAAAGTAAAATCAAAAACAGAAGAAATTATATGTTGATTAAAAAGCAATAGTACAGCAAGTGATCTATCTAAGTATATTATGTTGTAAATAACTAATAAACTAAACTAATAGAAAATTATAGTAAATCATAAGAGCTTAGTAATAGTCAGTAATAGTCATATTCCATGAACAGAGATAAACTGTAAGTTAAAATATTCTTAAATAGTATGACATGAGAAAGTAGCAACATTATTGAGATATTAAAGGTCACTAGTTTGTCACAAAAAGTTATTTAAAAAGTCACAGTTTAAAGACAAAAGGTATTTTTTATTATGTACTGTAGTACTTTTAACAAATAGTTTATAATGCAAATTATACATTTATAATTTTATCATAGTATATATATATACTACGTTGGAATAAATGTGTCCCCAAAAAGTCTAAATATAGCATGACATTAGAAAGTTAAGTCATAGTTTTTGGTTTTAAGTCATTAAAAGTCATAATATTGTAGGTGGTAACATGTTGTCAGCATTCATCAGGCAGGATGATGCAACAGTTTGATGAGAACTGGAATCCATTGATCTTTGGGGCTCAAAATCAGGATTTCTCTTGCTTTTTAAATTTCTTAATAAATCAACCAACATTCTGAAAGTGCAGCGCTCGTAAGCTCGCTTTTATATTCTCTATCTCTGCGAGCGGTCATTGTTGGAGCTGACTCTTCCCTGAATCTGAACTCCCTTTGTTTCCGTTTCCATAGATACTCTCTTAGATTTCAGCCACGCGGAGTCCGACCGGCGCATAATCACCTAACCATTAAAACCATTAAAAACCGATTGGGTCTTAACTCACCCTCTTCTCTCTCCTTCTCTACAGGCTTCGAGTGTGTCTTCTGCAATTTCGTGTGCAAGACGCGCAGCATGTACGAGCGGCACCTCCAGATCCACCTCATCACGCGGATGTTCGAGTGCGACGTCTGCCACAAGTTCCTGAAGACGCCCGAGCAGCTGCTGGAGCACAAGAAGTGCCACACTGTCCCCTCCGGAGGGCTCAAGTAAGGAAAGCAAGTACAGACAGAGGTTCCTAGCTTCACCCCCCCCCCTCCCCCCTCCCGTCACTACAAACACACACACACACACGCGTTAGGGGTGTGCAACTTATGGCAACAACCAAGGCTCTGGGCATCTATCAACGGTTTCGTTTATTTTACAGGCAGCATTTAACCCACTTTGCATTTAGGAAACGATGCATGTCGTTCACGGAGGACCCGGCTGGTATTTTTAATGGTTCTCTCAGAGATAAGAGCTGATTGTAACGACCATCCTGCTGCAGACGGAAACACTGGTTTCTGTCGCCATGTGTCCTCTGCCAGTTAACCTCTCTTTAATGGTCATTATTTGCAGCCAGCAAATTAAATCATACAAGCTGTAGTTTCGCTCGACCGCCTCTCTTGGCAAGTGTAAGTTATTAGACGGTGGTCCGTGGGTCTGCAGCGGCTGCTACCAACAGAAGGGAGGATGGAAACGGGCTTCCCCTCAGGGTCTGCTGTGCCGCTGCCCACAGCGAGCTGCTATGCCAAAGAGAAAGATCTAATGAAAGCTGCCTTCAGAAGCCTGAATACAGACGTATATATATATGTGTGTGTGTATATTAGCGAAAACTAATTAACGCCCCTAGAACAAAGCTTTCAAATATAATGTGCAAACCTACGTCGCTGTAGTTTGTACCCAAACCGTACACATACACACTTAGTTTCATGTAGCTGTAGCCCTCCTTCATGCCTCCCTCCCCATCTCCATATCCAGTCCCACAGGAGCCTTTGTTGTACTGTAACACCTTTATGTGCCATAACAAGCCTGTCAAGCCGACATAAAGCCCATCTGTTGATCTCACCGTCCACGCGCCGCCGATGCCAACCGTCATAATGTACCGTCACACGGGTTCTGTTCGAGGGGAGCCGTTAACGGCGTCTGTGGTTAGAAGCAAACAAACAAATTGCTTTCATATTTAGGAAAAATGCCTCATGCCATTTTGTGTTTTTGTTTTTGAGTCGTTGTCATAACTCCAGTCTGAGCACGTACGGAACCATTAAGTCACGATTGTCGCCTCATCTCGTCATAAACAAAAGATCTGTGTTCTATATCTTCTTTTTTTATTTATTTTTTAACTAATCACTAAATGTCTGGAAATGGTTAATTCAAGGAGGAAGCTGCCAACTCGGCGACATTGACTCATATTTGAACAGATCACAGCCCCACAGGAAGCCCCTCCATAGCTCAAAGGTCTCCACAAAGCACCGTTAGCCTCTAACTGGAGGATCGGCTGCTATCTGTAGTGTGTGAGTGAATCCATGTAAAGGAGTTCTAACGCTTTAAATGTTTCTTCTGTCTGGTGTTAATGTTTTCGCACCCAGATTGATTGCTTTGAGCTATTATTTAAAAAGGCAAGAAGGGGGTTGTTGATATTTTTAGATGCTTTTTTAATTATTGAGAAAGAAAACCGACTTAATGATTGCTTGATATTTTTTTTAGATAAAACAGATAATAACTTTTTTTGCTGCACTGTTTGTATCTGCACCTGTGGGTTTATATTTTCAGCTCTTCGTGGTTTACACATCTCTTAATTTATGGAAAGCGCATTTCTGTCTACTTTGAAAAGGAGGCAGGGTTTAACCCAACAGGTGTAGAATTACTTAATGGACATAAAGGGCACAGAGGTCCTAGATAAACTCCCATTGCCCACATTTTGACTTTTTTTTTTTTCTCGACTAGTGTGTACACGTGTATACACTTGGGCGATGTGAAGTGTTTCTATATATGTGGGAGTGTGTAGAAAGGGAGAGAGGGCCTTGACCATTTCGAGGTTTTTCTGAGGTGATTCTGTTCTGCAGGGTTTGTGAAGCGCTTTGGGGCCCAGAGCAGATGAAAGGTGCTATTTAAATGTAAGTGCCACTCCATTCCTTCATTTCCCTTCATGTCGTACTGCTCCAAACCTTTCTCTAGCCTGTCACACACCCCCCACTCCTCCTCCACACACACACACACACACACACACATATACCTGATCACCGCAATTCTACCACCATTAAAATGCCACACATATCACCACGAGCACACAGAGCTCCACATGACGCAGACTTTTCCTTTACCTGTCCTTCTCCTCCTCCTCATCATTTTGTGTGATTCAATTTCAAGGTGTGTTCTGTTTTTTTTTCGATGTGCACCTCCCCCTTAATCTGTCCTTTTGCTTCTGTGTGTCCCCCCCCCCCCTTCCCTCTCCCCCCCACTTCCCTTTTTTGTCGCGTTACCCAGGTGCCCTTTCTGCATCTACTCCACCAATCGTCCAGCGGCCATGGAGTGCCACCTTAAGACGCACCGTAAGATGGAGTACCGCTGCCGCATCTGCCAGGGACTGTGGGCGGACCAGGCCTCATTGGAGGCCCACGTGCGCGGGCACCGCCTGGGCAACCACTACAAGTGTGAGCAGTGTGGCTACTTGTCCAAGACGGCCAACAAGCTGATCGAGCATGTGCGCGTGCACACGGGCGAGCGGCCCTTCCACTGCGACCGCTGCTCCTACAGCTGCAAGCGCAAGGACAACCTCAACCTGCACAAGAAGCTGAAGCACGCGCCGCGCCAGACTTTCGGCTGCCGAGAGTGCCCTTTCACCACCACACACCCCTTCGTCTTCAGCCGCCACCTCAAGAAACACCAGGGCGGAGGAGCGGGGGGTCCAGACGGAGGCGTGGGGGGACGGGGAGAGGAGTTGGAGGACGAGGAGGAGGAGGAGGAGGAGGAGCAGCTGCCGCTCCGGGGAGCATCGCCGGGGGTCTCGTCACCGCGCAAGAGCCGGGAGAAGGTCCTGCTGTTGAGCCGAGGGGGGGGGGAGCAGCGGAGGGAGCGGCAGCAGCAGCCCCCTCGTGAGCCTGACGGCGTCCCAGGCGCTCCAGTCCGTCGCCCTGTCGCTCACACTTGGCAAGCGCCGCCGGCCGGACGCCGCTGGCGCTCTGCACCGCCTGGCCGGCGCCAACGACACCGGCAGGAGCCCCGGCGGCCCGAGCAGCGCCGGCCCCTCCGTCTCCCTCCCCTCCCCCCGCCACGTGTTCGAGCAGTACGGGACCTGCGACCGGGCGCACCTGATCCCCCTCACCACCCTGTTCACCCACAACAGCCGCTTCACATTCCGCTCGCACCTCCACTCCAGATGGCGTCCCGCCGCGCCTCCTCCTGGCTTCTCCTCCAGCTCAGCGTGGCCCTCCCGCTCCCCCCCCTCGCCCTCCTCCCACAAACACTCCTTCCTGGCCTACCTGGGACTGATGGAAAGGGCCAAGACGGCTTGACCCCGCCCACCACCACCTCCTCCTCCTCCTCCTCCTCCCGCTCTCTCCCTCGCTCCTCGGACGGTGGTGTGAATTGACACTTGACCGCTGCAGCGGGGGCGACGTCTTTTCCAATCAGACCAGCAGAATAAGCTGGACCGGGCAGACGTATTGAAGAAAAGAAAAACATTTATAAGAGAAAAAGGCTGTACATGCTAAAAATGCATTTATATCACAAAGCTGCTTTTCCTATCAGTTCTATCGATTTGAATTATTACTACTTCAACTACTACTCTCTATTACCTTTTTTTTGTTTTGTTTTGAAATGTCTGAATGACTTGGACCCAGTCGCGTTCTCCGAGGAAACTTTTCTCAGTTTTCTAGATATTTTTTCTTTTGGTCGTTTGACGAGATTTAAAATACGAAACAAAACTTGCAAGTGCTATGATTTAGTGCATCTTTGTCTATCGCTATTATGCATCGAAATAGCATGCCTGTGTTTCAACCACCTTCGACGTCATTAGTGTTCGCAATGTGGACCGAACCAATGAAACGGAATCCTTCTCACCGTAAAAGGCACGTTTCCAAAGCAGCGCCTAAAACCACGCACTTACTTATTTATCAGTCTTGTAAATAGTTTTGTAGCCCCTCCCCTTCCCATCTTTTTGATTTCTGTTGTTTTTTTGTACAATGGTGAAACCATATTATGCATAGCTGCTGCCTGATATCACCTCTGTCTCAGAATAAATATAATTTAAAAGGAGTTACTAGTTAATTGTAATAGTTTTTTTGTAAAGCTCGTCAAGCAGAACATGAGTTGTGATAATAATGTAAATAAGGAAATTCTGACTTATGATAAGAAACATTATACATTTATTGTTAATAACTCGGATTTAGATATAAATGTAAAATGTTGGGTGAATAAGCAGTGAAATAATGAGAAACATTCATCAATTATTTCTGAGACCGGGTGGGAATCAGTGCAGCTTCACATGCAGAACTATGTATGACGCACCTAATACTTAGAAGAGAAATATGAGATAACTGTTTTGTGGAGGTGACCAGCGCCGGGTTAGCAAGCTACCCGCAGCCAGCGTCACCACAGGCCGATTCAATGGTGCTTTTTGGAGCTTTTTGTAATTTTTGTGTACAAAAAAAAAAAAAGAAGAAGAAGAAAATAACTGTTCCAAAATGACTTGAATGAATGTATTTTTGTTTTATGTACATGAAAAAGAAGCGATACAGAAGTGTGAGCAGGGACGTCTTCTGTGCTGGAACAGACAGGAAAGTCGGTGTGTTTGGTGGCCTTCTGTGTCCTTTTTTATTTTGTCTTTTCATTTTTCTTTGATTTTTTTTCCACTTTTTTTACTGAGCCTTTTACATCATAACAAAACATTTTCTACTAACGGTCAACGAGAACCCATCGTGAAATAAAAGCTCCTGCAGGTGCAACTATGAAGCAAAGCCATTCACATGTACAGCATTGTTTTCAATGGCACTGGCTTCTGTATGCCGGCGGACACGGTACTGCCCCCCCCCCACCCCCCCTCACAGCTCTTTTCAACCTTTTGAGTTTTAATTGCACTTAATATAGTTACACTTCAAGCCAAAAGCACTTAAACCTTTTCTTTTTCTTTTCTTTTTTTAAGCGCAAACTTGGATGTGTTGAAGTGGACGGTAGTTGCTGTAAATGAAGTCAGCAATCATCCGGCCGTAGTTTCACATTAAGTAAGCATTTCTAGCAGTGCAAATGGGCGTAAATTAAAACAAATGCATGAATTAGCCAGTTTAGGTCAAGTTCTCCCTGGGAAGTAAAGGTCCCAGGCTAAATTGTGATAGCCAGTTTTGCACAGTGCTGCACTTTTTGATTAAGAGAATATTTATCTGTAACATTCAAAAGAAAAAGAAGTATGTTTTGCGTGACAGAGCAGTAAAGTACAAGCATTTTATTTTGAAAAGCTTATCTATAGTGCTTTTGTTTTTTTAAGTGGTCTTCAAGCCCAAATCTCTTATTGTTTTAAGGGATTGTCTTTTTTATGTTCTCCTTTTGTCCATTTTCCTTGTTGCTTTTTAAAAAATGTTTTACTTTAATCATATCAGAAGAAAAGAGATCATGAATTGTCGAGACCAAAATGCAACGCGGATGTGATGTTAGGATTGAATCCGTCACTTCCTGTTCTTGAGTGATGCCTCGATTGTCCCTCTTAACACGACTGTTTGTTCTGTTTTGCTCTGTCGATGTCCAGCATGCCGTCTCTGGAGTGAAAGGAGCATCTCACACACACACACACACCCACACACACACACACACACAAGAACACCCCCCTTGTACTATCTACGTCATCTTTTATACTCTAGTGCCACTTGGTGGAAAGAAACCACCTGAGACTTCTGAGAATGAGTCAAACTAATTGTCAGGGTCCAAAAAGAATTAAAAAAGAATAATAATGTGTCCGATCTTTTTAAAACGCCGTTTTACAGCTTAATCATAAACTGCTGCACTTCTTTTTGTCCCACCTGTTTGGAGTGTAATGTTTAAAAAGGCAACATGTTTCTATCCTTTCTAAAGCCAATATTCTGAAGCACTTATTGATTATTTTGCCCAATGGTGAGCAGCACAGTGAGCTTTTATTTAATTCTTTTTATAAAGCTTGACTACCTTTTCAGCACTTGACATTTCGCATGCCATTGCCCCCTCTAGTTCTTTGAAAACACCCCCCCCCCCCCCCGTTTGGTTGGCATCCCTCTGCACCGTCTACAATCACTTAGCTTTAAGTTTGGCTGTATTTTAGGATCCGAAAAGGCTCGGCTGTGTTATCCTTTGGCACTCGGTAAAGATTGGTATGTGCTGTACAAAGCTTTTTTTTATTACTCCATTGTTAAGGCTGTACAGGGTTGTGACGATAACTGGTAAATAGATCATTTGTACTTTTTTGGTTTTGTATTTGTTTTTCTTTGTTCGGCATTATTTTATGTTCAACCTGCCAGGTCTAAATGTAACAGGATTTGAAAGTAAAGCTTACATCAGATATTACGTCGGTGGTTTTGTCCTCTCTGCTCCTTCTTTTGACGCGTCAGATTTCTCCACTGCTGCAGAAGTCTCCCAAAACTGCGACAAAAATGCATAAACGCAGTGTGACTTTTCTTTGTATAGTTTCTCATATTGGTCCGACTCCCCGTCTGTGAGCTGGTGGCTGCAGCTTCGTTCTGGACTAAATACTTTCATGGCTCACGGCATAGGGACCATTTTACTCACTCTTTCATGGCGTTTTGTGTCACACTGTACTACAACTTCTATATTATCATATATAATATAATAGGACTTTCATGACGTACGAAAACACTACTCTTTTATAATATATTTTTGTCCTATATTATTTTATTACTCACTATAGTGTGACTGTAACATGTCGGTCCTCTGGGGGGGTCTTGAAATGACGGGCACGAGGCAGTCAGGTCCATTGTAAACGGTTTTATTTGTATTTCCACACACACACAACACCGGCTCCAGCCTCCTCGCCCCGCTCTCTCGCTGTCGCCGGCTCTCTCCTACTTAACAGCAGAGTCCTGATTAACATCAGCTGAGGCCAATTGCCTCCCCCGGCACCGTTCCCTGAACCACTCCCTTCTCAGTCCCCCCCTGCAGCCGAGCCAAACCACGCCCGCCACCACAGTGACCTTTTATGACATACTATGACCTTTTAAAGATTTTCTAATGACTTTTTACATACTTATCTTATTTTAATGGCAGACTTTACTCCGAACTTTTTTTATGGCAAACTACGCCGTCTCTTTCTTACGTGCTCTTTTTGTACGTTTTTAGGGCATATTTTATGGCTTTTTCATACTATACTATGAACTTTTTATTATATGATGTACTATAACATTCAATAGTTTTCTTTCACATACTACAGTGTGTATTTCTATGACATTTCCTGTCATGTGACTTCTTTTTTTGTATCACATAAGAACTGACGCTGTTAGAAAAATAACTCTGCTCAAGGTGAGCAGAGGGAAGATTGCAACGCACACAGTGTGTATGTACAGATCATTTATCACCTTCATTAATCCCGTGGGATTAGGACCTTTGGCCTTGGTCGAGGTCTGCGTGCTCCGAGGGCCCCTCTAATGATTATTTCACTCATTTAGCTCGCATTAAAATAAATGTACACACACTTCAATTAAAATTCTGCCTTCCAAGTTAAAATAAATGCAAAAACCTTGGTTAACTATTCAATACTAAATCAGCGTTAAGGAACAGCACTGATCTTCTTTGAGGGACACCGCGCTCTCTAATTCACATCGCTGGCGTGCCGTCATAAGAAGAAGAAGAAATAGGGTCCGTCATGGTGTCTAGCTGGTGTTTTTATCGGGCCGATGGGAGGTCTCTCTCCCTCCCGCTCTCCTTTCTGTGTTGTAAGTAATGAAAGTTACTGCACGTTCGCGCCCAGGCAAAAGGTTGGCCCTGCCTAATGAAAACAGATGAAGCAGAGATAAAGTGTTTGCCGACATTAAGGGACTCATTTATCACCGTTAGCCCCCCCGAGCCATAGAACACCTTGGTCTGGCGCTCTCCTCTAGCGGGCCTCGCCTCGCAGCGCCCTGGTGGCACGCTGCAACCCTCCCGGGCCCGCAGACGCCGCCATCTTTAACGCTCTTTGTCTTCTCCTTTGTTTTTCCGCGGTCAGTTTTTTTTTTTTTTGTTGCGTTGCTTTAACAGACGTTATCCCTGTTTATGCATCGTGGAGCAGAGGTTCCTGTGTGTTTTCTACGGGATTTCGCAGTCCTTGCGGGACCTCCGTTACCGCGCCTCTCGACATCCACCCACGTGGGGTTCAAGGCCAACCCCCCCCCCCAAAAAAAACGGATCCCTCCCGTGAACGGGCCTGCTTCTCATCTAGCCGCTCATCTCGCCCGTGTTATAATGAATCTTTTTCGGCTGTGTTTAAAGCTGCTTAATTAAGTTGAAAGCAGCGCTCGGGGCGCCGTGCGCCTGCTCGGCCGACCTCCCTACGAGTGGAAGTGTTGATTAGGAAGTGAAGAGACATGCAGGCACTGCAGGCCATGGCTATTGATTGAGAGGATAGAAAACCTCATTTGGATTTTCGTGATTGGAACGCCACACTGTACACAGGGGCGTCCCTCCCGCCCCTCATTTGCCGGGTAACGATGACTCCCCCCCCCGCCGCCCCGGGCTGAGAGGTGGCCGAAATCGTCGACTAAGTGAGAAACTTCTGTGATAAGACTAAACGCCGAGGAGTTTTCCCTCATCCCAATAATAGCCCTTCACCCCGGCCCGAGCTGTCTGCACAACGCCGACCTTTCGACACCACCTCGCCAAAGTTGGCCGCTGCCGATCGATAGCGTGTTAGCTTTTTTTGTTTGAAGGTTCAGGCTGCCTTGGCTTTATTACAGCTGCTGAGAGTCACCGGGGAGTCGCGCGCGGCTTTGCGAGCGAGGAGCTCCCTCTTGTTTGCCAAAAGTGTAATCCCACCGTGACCCAGCGTGACCCCGCCCTGAGAGGAAAGCTGCTTAGACAGAACTGCGTGTCTGTGGGAGCTCCCAGCTGCCTCTCTCTCTCTCTCTCTTTCTCTCAATTCTCCTCACCACATCCATCTCACACACACACACCCCCTCGCCGCCTTTATAGCTCCATATACATCTTTTTAATCACCCTAACCGCCTCCTTTTACCCTCACTCAATACTCACCTTTTCTTCTCTCATCCCTTTCTGCCCTTTCCTTCCTTGCGTGCTTCACCCAGCATCCATACTTCCTCCTTCCTCGCCTCCATCACGGCTGTTGTTGGTGAGCAGAGGTTCTGCTGGGTGGGGACAGATCTCCGCTCTCTTTCGCCCCCCCCCAACATAGGGAAAATAAACACACAGTCCCGCCACACGCAGCCTTCGGCGCGCCCTGCAGAGCAGGACCACTGGGCACACGGGGCGGGACGTTAAGGGAGAAAATGACCTCTGGAAGGCATTTGGCTTTGGGTTGAGCGAAGCTCCGCTGAGGCCGTTTGTTGATTCCTAAAAATTAGCCCCCTAAATGAAGATAGTGAAAATGTAGTATGTGTAAGAAGTTTGCTGCCAGAGAAACATGCAAAGTGCACGCGCACAAAAACAAAGATGTCAGGAAGCCTGCGCGTACAAGACAAATGGCGCCTAAGGTCCACCTGGGGGAGCGCGGCAGCGACAGAGGATCTGCAGGCTCAGTCGCCGCCCAGTGGGGGTTGGACATCTCTTTACATGTGTTGGACACGCGTGTGTTTGGCGCCCGGCCCACGGGGCACAGTTTCACCGCCTGCCCGAAACACCCCCCCACCCCCTCCTGCTGCGGCCCTTTCCCTTTCTCTAAGGTGAGACATCGCTCGGCGGGGGGGGTCAGCAGCAATCTCAGTCAGGGAGCCCTGCTGGGATGTTTTGGGGGGAAGGGGTGGGGTGGGTTACCCACAATCCCCCGGGCCTGGCGTACCCAGACTCGGGGCAGCCGGAATCAGCGTTGGCTGCTACTGCCCGGCCGTTCCGACTGGATGACAAACACATTACAGCAGAGAGGAGGTGGGGGAGGGAGGGAGGGAGGGAGGGGGGAGGAGGCTGGTAATGGGCAGAGGGAGAGCAGCTCTACTTAAGTATGATCGTGTCTTTGAAACAGATAGGACAAAAGCCAGCCAACTCCCCTGTTGTTAAGCTCTGCTGTTACCATGGCACCCTGTGACAGTCACCAGCCATAGGTTGCTTTGGTTTCTATGGGTAACAGTTGGCGCCGCGCTCCCTTCGCATCTCACAGCCAACGTTGAGATATATCGCCCACTGATTCCACGCTTTAATAAGTCTAATCTCTCTGACTGAATCAGGACGAGATGTTTTTTTCTTCTTCTTAAACATGCACACGCGGTTGGTTTTTCACCTGCGAGAGGCAACGATTTCAGCGACTGGAGCCTGCAGAGATCTGAAATGAGGAGACTTTGTTACAGGGAGCTTAACAGAATAGCAAGGTCATGTCCAAACTAATCGGGCTCCTTATTTCCCTGGACGGAGTAATGAAGTAGAACGCCGACCCCCGTCTGACCCTGGGAATCCGCTGCAAAGAAAGCTGGCCGGGAGACCAATTAGCCAAAAGTAAACGGAAATATTAACACGGAGCCGTCGTTCATTAATAAATACGATCAGAGTCATACCTTTGTGTGAAAAGAACGGTTTTGATGTTTAACATCAAATGTCACAAAGCCTTCAATCTTGCAGGATAACAAGTTCCTTTTGGTGTTTTATCCTAAAGATGATTCGTGATGAGGGTTGATACGTGCATCCTGGCCAGCTCTCCTAATTATCTCGTGCACTTGAGCTTTTAATGATTTCCATGATTCAATTATCCCTAACTGAATTCCGGTCTTCAATCAATCAATTAAAGCCATAGCTGCACACTCATCCATCTTCCGATCAGGACGTCGGGAATCCCTCCATCCATTCTCATTTGAGACGAGAGTGGGTCAAACAAATTAACAGAGATCGCATCCATCCACGTCTTTGCATTTTTTAACCTTTTCGGCAACTTACATTCCGTAACTCTGGATGAACCATGTTACCGTGTGTCCTATTATCTTTGATCAAAAAGCTTCAAAGATGCATTTAAATATTTTTTAACGTCACATAAACAGGATCAACAGTCAGTACCTTGAACTAAAAGAGTTTCGTCCCTGTGAATATAACGTATTCTACTGAAACGTTGAATAAATGCGGTATCATCTTTTATCTAAAACCCCTTTGTCTCCTCTCTGCGGGTTATCGTGACCCCTGATGTGAAGGTGAGCGAGCGCCTTTCTTCGTCCCCCAAGAACACTCTCGTCCCTTAAGACACTTAAAGAGATCAACGTGCACACAAGCACACACACTTTAGTACACAAACACACACACACTATGGCACCATCTGCTGGAACCTTAAGAAATATTTAGGCAAAACGATCTGCAATGTTTGTATAAAAGAACAATGGGAAAATGGCAAATTTGGTTTAGTGAGATCAAACATCTTTCAAGGA